AGCGCTCGCTATGAATGAGGTTGATGACGGCAAGGGTGGCCGGACCCTGAAAGGTATTCCTTTCATCGTCCCTGGCGCTCGCTTTAATGAGGTACCTTGCTCAATTCACTGGATCGTTCTTACTAACTAACATCATTCGATTGCAGCTCTACAACTGGGATTCCTACTTTATCTCCCTAGGCCTCCTTGTGGACGGCCAAGTGACCATGGCAAAGGGCATGGTTGATCACTTCATATTTGAAATCAAGCATTACGGCAAGATTTTGAACGGAAGCCGAAGTTACTATTTGTGTAGGACGCAGCCTCCGTTCTTGACGGACATGGCGCTGCAAATCTACAATCAGCTAGATCGCTCAGATGTGGAGTCTAATCGACAATGGCTGAAACGCGCAATTCAAGCCGCCATCAAAGAGTACCATACCATCTGGGTCGCGGAGCCCCGCATTGATCCTAAGACGGGGTTGTCTAGGTACCGCCCCGACGGTCTTGGAATTCCTCCTGAAACTGAGGCGACGCACTTTACGCATATCCTTGAGCCTTATGCTGAGAAGCACGGCATCTCGGTACTCGAGTTTAGCGAGAAGTACAACAACGGAGTTCTGAAGGAGCCTGCGCTGGACGAGTACTTCTTGCATGATAGAGCTGTGCGCGAATCGGGTCATGATACGACGTACAGGTTTGAGAAGCGGTGTGCGAACCTTGGGACGATCGATCTACAGGCACTACTGTACAAGTATGAAGTCGACATCGGCACGGCCATCCGGGAGGTGTTTGATGATGAACTCGAGCTCGAGGAGGAATTCGACTTGGCACCCTTCCCACCTTCTGTCGAAGCATATCGCAACCCCTACCGCGAGTGCTCAACCAGTCGGTTACAAAATAGCGATGAGTGGTTTGAGAGAGCCGATCACAGGCGGGAGATGATCGACAAGTACCTATGGAACGAGAACAAGAAGCTGTACTTCGACTACGATACAGTTTTAGAGAAGCAGAGCCTGTATGAAAGTGTTACTGCGTTCTGGGCGCTCTGGGCTGGTTGCGCGAGTGAGGACCAGTGCTGGAAACTTGTGTAAGTCCAGTTGGCTTCCTTCGTAAACATATCTAACTTGGCGTAGTTCGCAGTCGTTGAAGAGGTTTGAAGTACTCGGGGGTCTTGTTTCTGGGACCGAAGAGTCTAGGGGTAAAATTTCCTTGGACAGGCCAAACCGGCAGTGGGATTACCCGTGTGTTGATGTCTCCTTGATTGTGTATACAGTAAATCTAATAATTTCCAGCTATGCATGGCCTCCTCACCAAATCATGACTTGGGTCGGGCTAGAACGCTACGGTTACCTGGAAGATGCTCAGCGATTATCGTACAGGTTCCTTTACATGTGCGTGACCTTACTTCGTCCGATTCGTACTGAGTTAACTTGATTACTGTAGGATGACCACAGCGTTCGTTGACTTTAATGGTGTTGTACCTGAGAAGGTATGTGATACCAGCAGTGACTTCTGTATGCTACTAACGAGAATGCTCGCCAGTTTGATGCAGTGAAACTTTCACACTTGGTGGATGCTGAGTACGGCAATCAAGGTTTAGATTTTAAGATGGTTCCTCGTGAAGGCTTTGGTTGGATGAACTGTGCGTTTTGGTCCATCCCCATGTTTGCCAGCTAATCGATGATCACAGCCGCTTACCAGGTGGGACTGTCTTTCTTAACGACGCACATGCGTCGCGCAGTCGCAACGTGCACCAGCCCAGAAATCGTCTTTGGTTCATCAGCAAACCTTGAAAGTGCCGTCGCTCAAGCGGCACATGCTGCCACTGATCCTCTTGGCCTTGCGATGGAGTCGTTGGACATTGACAGTCTACCTGTTTAAGCGTTCAGCACGATGTCTGTTTGGTTTTGTCTTGATATTATAATGTGATGTTTAATGTAATGTGCCCTGCGGTCTGCGACAGTACTCATATCTAATACATCTTGGATCAGAGTTAGAGTTCCCATTTCTTTTGTCTTTTTTGCATTTTCACTTGTATCTTCTTACTCATACATAGTCACAGCCTCTTATATCATGAATAAAGCTTAAATAAAAGGCCCCGGGAATCTCTTGATGAGTCAGCAACACATGCTTTTCTGCAACGTTTATGGCTCGCTGTGATGTCCGATGCTCCCAACAACTTTGACGGCCCTCCTCGTCCTCCTCCTTGATATTTTCCTTGACCGTGGCCGCTGCCAGCGGCCGCAAAGTTCTCGTTTTGAGAAATCCCATCAATTTGAGTTGCGGCACCAACATGCTGTCTCACCCGATGCACGTGTGGTGTTCTCCGACGTGCCATCGACTGTGAACCTTGTCTACGGCAATGAATCATCCTATTCGATAGACACACAGTATATGACCTCATATCGTCCATCAAGTTTTAGCGCCTACAACGATGCGAGGATTCGTTCCATGCGGCACGCACAAAGCGCGATTTTGCCCTGGTACGAAACCGAAATATTGGGACCGAATGTCGAGAAACGGGAAACACTGTTAGAACTCGCAAAAATGACAAATAATGCCTATGTAACCCCTGACGATAGCCAGTGGTACGAACTTGACGAGAACTGGTCCAATGTTCGTAGCTTTCCTTAAATTCTGCATGCACGTTATCGCTGAAGAGCTTTTCAAAGCCTTATCCATTTGGATGGGAACCAGATGCTGATGGGTTCCGAGGTCATGTGTTTGCGACGTCCGACAACTCTACTATCATTCTATCCATCAAAGGCACTTCTGCGGCTGTGTGGGGAAGCGCAGGTCCGACTGCCAAGAAGGATAAATTGAACGATAACCTACTGTTCAGTTGTTGTTGTGCTAGAATTGACTGGAGTTGGACGACCGTATGTGGGTGCTATCGTGGAGGATGGAAATGCCACCAGGATTGCCTAGAGCAGGCTCTAGTGGAAGATAGTCTATTTTACCCCCTTGGAACGGTAGGCCTATCATTGATGTGTGATTCCTCTACTCATTTAAATCAGAACTTGTATAATAATCTAACATATATGTACCCGGCGTCGGATATCTGGATCATAGGGCACTCGCTAGGTGGGTATCTTTTGTTGTAGTTGGCGATGTGTTCACTCACCTGGGAGAGAAGGTGGTGCGGTGGCTTCCCTTCTTGGAGTCACGTTTGGTGTCCCTGCTATTGCCTTTGAGTCACCAGGAGAGCGACTAGCTGCTAGGCGGCTGCATTTGCCATCGCCGGTGTGTAATTATAATGAGCCTATCATCCTAGTGGTAATTGATCAATCTTAGCCATCAACTCATCATGTCACGCACATATATCATACTGCAGATCCCATTGCGATGGGAACCTGTAATGGAATCTTATCTTCTTGCGCCTTAGGCGGGTTCGCAATGGAAACTAAGTACGTCTTCTGGCATTTGTGTTACCCGCGTATCTAATATGGCCTAGGTGTCATCTAGGCAAATCCATTGTCTACGACACTGTGTCAAACCTTTCTTGGTCTGTAGACATACGCAAACATGGGATCGTCAGTGTTATAGAAGAAATACTGGAGAAGACCTGGCAACCCAGCGAAAATGTCGGTCGGGAGGTTCCACTCGCTGCAGCTGAAGAAGATTGTGTGGTCAGTAGTCATAAATGCATTCCCTATGGCACTCGGCTGACATTGTGGAACTTGCAGGAATGTTATAGCTGGGAGTTTGGCGATTTCCCCCCGTAGATACTGCGGCAGTCGTGAGCCAGAACATACTCATACCCTACTTTATCACGCATACCAGCACTTATCACAAAGCTTGACAAACTTTGGTTGGGTACTGTAATCTATAAGCAGAAAGCACTTTGGAGGAAAGCGGCGCACTTGGAATATGCTTAGAGGTGAATTGTTCCAGGAATAGGTGATTCACCCGTTTGCTGCATATCAACCTTTACCATTCCTTCTGACTTTTCTAATCTCTTGCTGGCTGATTGTCACCTCGTGAAATCTAATTTTGCCTTCGGTGCTGCAGTGACATACGAGTAAGGTGAACAAGTGCATCAGGGATATGCTGGCATGCAACGTATGACGGTGCTCAGTCTGAGTTAACCGCCTCCACTATTACTACGCGGCCACACCTAGTCCCACGCATCTAGCCTGAAAGTTATGCACTGCATCGAGGTATAGAGCGGCCTGAAGGACCAGCGTTCACCCTGCCCTGAATGACCATCTGTTCTTATATATAATCTCCCTTGCTTGATCTCCCTCGTTCGCTGATCTGCTGTCCCTATAGTATGTATCCCCGGAACTTGAAGGGGGTGTCAGAGCGGCATGTTCTCTTTGTGCTGATTTGAAACGCACTGTTATTTATTTGACCAATTGTGCACAAGCAGGCCCGACTTTCCTAATCAGACAATAGAAGGCCCAAAGACAGTTGTTTATTCTAGCTCTTCCCCATGCAGACTTAATCTTCCTTTCAGCGTGAACTTTTGTTCGCTGTTCAACCCAATACCCACTGCGCAACCCTGTTCCGCACATCATTCTCACGCTTGCACAACGCGCACCTTCGCTTGCACACACGCTCATTGTCCTTCACGGAGTTACCCTCAGCCAACCTGATCTCACTTCCCATGCCAATGTGTGAGTAACTCCTCTTGGTTCAATATTGAAGTCACAGATCCCACTCACATACTAACTCCAACTTGGACCCCATCATCTCCAGAGACCAGAACTTTGGGCCAATGCAGCAGAGTCCAGTGTGATCATTATCTCATTATTCGGCAGAATTTGTGACGCTAGGTCCAGGAGCGCAGGTCATCAGTAGGGGAATCCTTCAATCTCAGGCTACGAAGAAGACTCAAGATCTGCGCATAGTACTGCATGATTTTGCCACTCGCTTTCGAACTCTCTCATCTTCATACTAATAGCCACAGCCACCTGCACATATATATATGACTGCAATTTATGTGACACAAAGTACTAGCTATTTCCTACTACATACGTGCATCGAGCTGAAGTGATACGTAATCCTATGCTGGTCTACACGGTACTGCTAGTTGGCACGTATGTACGTTCCTGGAAGGCAATCGAAGTCATGTGCGTGTTTGTGTCGGATTCGTTCACGAGCTTAGCGTTATATTCTCGGACGCTAATAATGATTCGTGGTCCCAGTACAAACATCTGCACGTTCAAGAAAATTTGAAGAAAGCCTTCATATATCTGAGTTTCCGTGGTAGTCGAGTCCTACAGAAATGATGAGCAGGGTCACATGCAATGTCAGTGACAGATTGGCGAACTGGGATTTGTGAAGAGTTACGGCCAAGCTCGAGGCAAGCAACAGTAAGAAAGCTAGCACGTGCTCAGCAGCAGAAGATAGGCGCATTGATTATGGGCTCACCCTGCAAAGTAAAGCAAGTGGGATTTGATCAACATTGTGAGACAGTCTCCGATGGTTGATCCAATCGATGTTCTAAGTCGTCGCAAGTCACGGAATCGTTTTGCAGTAATCCAGAGTGCAAGACACAGTGCAAGGACCTCCCATGCAGCTGTGATAGCCCAAGTCATTACTGAGAGAAGTTGGTAATTTCCCTCGAAGTCATAACTGCATATATGGGTGCCAGAAAGTATCGCCTCCTCTGGGATTTGTCCAATGAGCCCCATCTTCCAGTCCAATAAGTAAATCTCACCTCCGACAACATGCTTCAATATCATCGCCGCTATCACTACGCAGGAAATATTCACAGCTAGAAAGATTACGACGAGAAAGGTAAGCATCTTTTTAGATCCATGATACATGGCATATAAACGAGCAATCATGATGGCTAGCATAGTGTTTCAATCAAGTCAATATCACTGAGGATCGCAGTCGCGGACTCACCGCCCAGCATGGCAGCTACGATCACAGTTATCCAGCTTCTTGCGGACAACATGATATTGCCTGAAACACCCATTACTAATCCCCTCATATGATCAAACATCGCAAAAAAAAATCACATCTGTTGTGGTCATTATGTTGAGCCAAGGTCAACCAACATGTTCATAGAGGATCTCACTCACGCCTACACAGGATTGCAGTTAATCAGATGGGAATACGAGGCATGGATACAGAATACTCACCACATCTGAGACCGAGATTGACCGTGTGCCTGTATGCGCCGACGGTCAGAACTTGAAGAAAGCAACAGTGTATATGAGACATACTCAGGATAAATATCCTGATTGCGAAAAATGGGTTATTAACACAGCACCACTTTGTCAGCCTTGCACACGTACACAGCATTCAGTAGTCCAACATAACGTATCTAGGGTATTTTTCGAGTCAGCACAACTTTTCAACTGCGCTCATAACATGAGCCACGTACACTAAGGTATAAGATAGTCATCAAGGACCAGCGTTGCCTCTGTTCTGAATTATCTGCTGTTCTTTGGATATGGGATTCTGCTCACCCAAATCAATTCGATCTATAACATTACTCTTAGGCTACAAGATGTTTGCTCCAGTAATGATATCCACTCACCTCTTTTCCAAGCGTCAGGACTGGAAATATAAGGATTTCAGCGATTTCTTGAATCCTCACCATATCGCTCACCATAATCGTATACCACCGCAGTAAAGGTAGAAACTGCGAAACATAGTTCAATTTGGATCGTGACACCACCGACGACGAGATAAGCGCGAACTTAAAAAATAACTGAGAATACGAATGAAATAGATTGTCGGCCACCAGCTAGAATCATTGGAAACTATGGTCATATTTGAGGAATGTGTATCAGTGAGCTGGGAACTTCGCGGTCATATAACTATGGCGTTCACGTTAGATATACCATCTCCACTGTCCAGCGCTTGTATCGCCAAATTCAGTATGACAGGACTGGGTATCGTTGCTGGCTGATGGAAAGGCTGTATTCCGACGTCAAGTAGAAGTCCTTGATGGAATCAAAGATCTGGGGTTGTGGATACTATGCACAGCCTGAGTGTCACCCACACCTGATAATATTCATTCTCGAGATAATCTTGCTGCGCTTGTATTAATAGACTTTTACGAGTGAAATCTTGTAACCACTGGCATTGATCTGACACAGGTCTGGACCAAGTCTGGACATAATATGAAGTCCATCAATCATGATTCTCGACAAGACTCTATTACAGGATGATGATCAATGGGCACTGCGGTTCAATGATTTTCTTCTCGTATAAAAACAATAAATTAAAGAACTCACTGGCAGGTGGCGTGAAGCGCAGCGTGCATGCTGGGCAGCTCATCTCTCGATCGACGTGAGAGTCATTGGTAGTACTATCGCGCACTTGGTGTTGTATCACAATTTATTGAAGTTCGCTTTGGAGCGTCATAATGAACACGACGGCCATTAATATTGGCCTATGAGTTTCTTCAATAGTGGGCCACTGTTATCAGCTGTAGTGACACGATACTATAGCCTGTCAAGTATCATATTAGTAGGTGATATTTTCGAGGCGCAATAACCGGAGTGATCATGATACGCCGGCGCGTGGTCACAATTCCCGAGTATGATGACACGAAAGAACAATCATCGGTCCATCTTCCTTCTAATCTCGATAGAGTGAGCTCGTCTCGCCGTCGAGTCTGCCCAGCGAATCACTGGAATCGAGCTGGAGATGTTTGCGTGTACCCAAGAAAGAACTCGTGAGAACCGTTCATGATGACACAGCTACCGGGTCCGTGGCGAAAATACTCAGCCACCCAGTTTCTGGGGTCCTGGACGCGTTGACTGGCATTGTCAGTTGTTCACTCGCATTGTATATCAACGTTCAACCATGCCAGTGATTGATGTATCTGTTTCGTTGTCCAACGGCTTTAATCCTAAACTTCCGTCATGCGTCGCCAAGCTCGGTCACGATGGACTTATTCTCATCGAACTACAAGGCACGCTCGATATCGAGTGCGATGAAGACACTACTAGAGACGGGCAGTTCATTGGCAAATTGAACCTCAATGACGCTGTGAGTGAAGTTATCTATAGTCACTGATCTGGCAGTATCTAACAGACCCGCAAGAACAAACCCACGCTGACAATCGGGCATCATCTACTTGAGGGCAAGATCGTAACCTTACCTAAGCCGTTGGGCGTGATGCACCGCAAGGAAAGCTCCAAGAGACATGGCTATCCTAGCGACGGAGATAGCTCTATATCGGTGGAAGACACTCGGAACCCTGGCGTTAGCTGGGGCATTGTCGCTGTGGTGAAAAAAAAGATTGTATTCTCCAAACGACCCATGCCGATCCTGAAGTTGGACGGTAGTACTCAGGGAGGCAGGGTTTGAATTGGATGAAGATGTACAATTCCTGATACGACTTTCGTCGTGTGACCGCGATGGAGCGTGGTTGGCATGCTCCAATCGATGTACAGGAATCATCACTCAGCGAAGCTACCCGGGCCAGAGCAGCTTCCACGACCAGTCTATCGCCAACAGAGCGAACAAACCTGCGAATGAGGTCATGACCTCTTTTCTATACATGATGTTTGACTTGACCCTCGGGGGTATCTCCGGTGGCAACGTCAGGGTGACATATACGATGGGATAATAAACCAAGAATATGTCTTGCTATCAAGCATTGTGCCGTCACAGGTTCAGCTTCAGGAAACTATCCTAGTGCATCCTGTTCGAATGACGTTCATACTCTTAGATACTTATAGGTCAGGCACAGCCAATATGCAATTCAGGTCTATCAACCTCTTAAGGAGCGCTGTTTCACTGGACATGCCTATAATATGTCGTGACGGGTGATAGACATACCAGTTCATTCCTCGAAAAGGATGAAGAGAAAGGGGTGAAAGACAGAATTTCACACCTGAGTTAATGCTTCAGGTGAAAATGTATGTAAGGATTCTAATGAGGCACGCTGCTGGTCTACTTTCCAGAGTCCACGAGACATCCTTGTGACAAGAAAGGCATGAATAGTGACTTGCCAGATGCGTACAAACTTCACAATCATGAAACCATAATATTCCTGTGAAGTTTTACTTGTCAATACACATGGCTCTATTCATCTTTCGTACCACTGACCTTGAAAAGTGCTGTCGTTAATATGACTGCGAGTGAGGAGACTTTATATCATGATTCAGAAAATTTGCACATGTACTTGAAAATCTGTCATTGTGAAGGCAACTCACTCAGTCCGCAGGTCATGAAAATCGTATTGTGAAGAACCAGTTGTCCCAGCAGGCGATTGTGGGTTCCCTCTCGCCAGTAGCTTGCTATGGCCTTGTATAGCATGAATATCCATATTTCTGGGGGATCCTCAATTACTATAGGAAATGAATGAGGTTGTGAAGCTGTACTCACGTATCTCCATCCCAGCCAGTATCACGTAGATGATTATGATGGTGCTGCCATCACCAGTCTCAAAGCAGCTCGTGACAGGGATGGGAGACTTAGTAACTGCAAGAACATTTTAGCGCAAGTCACTTTTGAAATTCCAAAAAACACACTCTCAGGTGCAGCAGATCGGCTGATTGAGAGCACCACGTGGATAGCAACAAGGTATAGCTGACAGTTGCAATTCAATCGACATGGAGTGAACCCAGTAAAGCTTGCGACTGACTAATCCGAGGCTGATCACGAGCATAGCTATTACGCGCCTCCTAAGTTCCCAAATTGCACAAGCGCGAGTCAAGAAGATACCTTGCAGGTCTTTGTCAATGAATCTGCAGATGTGAGGATATGAAAGAACAAACCCTCGGCACACGCCATGATCACACATCCTGTATCTATGAAAAATCCCTATCAGAGACGACTTCACTTGAACGAAATATAAGATCGCACATGTGTTTATATAGTACAACCTGTGACACGTCTGTCGTAATACCTGAGTTGAGGTGTGACTTGAGGATCTTTAAAATACTCACCTCAATCGACATCCTGGGTTGCAATGCCACTGCAAGTATCATAAGCAAAGATAATCAATGTCATCGAGGGCTGTGCTTGCCAAGCATCACCGATGACAAGTAACCGCAGGTAAGGTATCGGCAGCCAATGTAAAGCAGCTTCGCCCATTTCCATCGTGACTGAGTCAAAAATGCAACCTGTAATCGATTATGTCTCTCAGTATTGATTCGGACAGGTAGAACAAAAGTACCTCGTCGGCCAAGGTGAGGAAGTAGTCATATGCCTGCAGTGACAAAGATCACTAATATCTGTAAGTGGGAGTGATTCATGTGAGTTTACCCAGAACGAAGTTACAGCCACTAGATTAAGGATGGATGTCGTAGACGAGATTATATCAGTCGCAGGCCACATAACTTGAACTAGGGTGCAGACCATTGGCATACTTGAGACATTATAAGCAGCTGGAACTGAACAAAGAATTACTTACATTGAGGCTCCAAAGCACCCGTCCGAGCTGAAGCACGTCTGAGTCGTCAAGGGAGTTCATTGCCGTGCACAGCTGTTTACAGTGCGGAAGTGGGAATTCCGAGTCTTCTCATGACTCTGGCACTTATGTATGAACCTCGGGTACCGCCACGGTCTTTAAGCTTAAAGAAAATTAGAGTGCATAGTATCGCTGAATTAGCATCAGTGGCAAAGACCTCAACCACCGTTCGGTAAGCATATTTCTTGGTCATTTTTTAGTTGAAGTTTCACCGCCCTCGCACGTACCTATTCTACGCTGCTCTGCCACGTTTGGGTCACTCCCTTAAACGTCCATCACGGAGCTAGCTGCTCTGAATTCTGTCCTCAACCCCTCCACGCGCTTTCGCTTCCTACACCCTACGAAGTCATCAGCACCGACGGCCACAGTGACATCGATTGGAGTCACCGCATCGATGCTTACGGTCGAGCGCGTCCCTTGTTTTCGCTTGAGCCTTTCAGGATAAATCAAAAAAAAAAGATGGGTTTCCCCACACATCACTTTTTAGGTTCATCTTCGCGTCCCTATCTCCCTCCTCGACAGTGTTTTGTCCTTTACATATTTGAACGAAGTTAAATTCTCGTGTCTTTGATTTGTTACGAGATGAGGGTGCAAGAAAAAAAAATTATGACTTCCAAGGACAATAACATGTATGCACGAGGTAGAGCTGCAAGCTAGGAGAAGAAGAGATTTAGGATGCAGTGAAATTACTGAAGAAAGAACGTGAAGGACGTGTCAAATAGTGGTAACTGACAAGGAGGATTGATGAGAAGAGAAGAGGCGATGTCGACTGCGAGCGCGATGGGGATCTGGCGCGGACGTGCTGCCCGGTCTTGATGCGTCAGAAAGCAACCGACAGTGACGACATAGCTAGGTTGCAGCAGGTCCCACTGAGAAGGAGCGGGATTGGTGTCTTGATGCAAAGAGATGGCGATGTTCACAGGCACCACTAGGGTTGCAAAACAAATGACATGCGCAAAGACTGCGAACTCGACAAGTAGGACAACGAAGACATGTGACAAGAGTCCGGCTCCGACATGCATGGCCAAGTTGCGGGGTCCAACCTTTACCAAATAACGTCAATAACGAAAGATATAGAGTCAATCTTTTTCGGAATATTGTAACAGGTCTCACACATCACTCAAAAATATGGGACCCTGTCGGCTCATACTGGATATCCTGGGTTTAAATGATGGCATACTAGCAAACACCTGAGTCGCTTTACATAAAACACACCGACGAGACTCTTGGCGCTGTCCCATCCTTTTACTTGGTGTCTCAGGGGTATATCGCTCGATACGAAGTACTGGGGGCAACACCGCGACTACATACTTGCATGCAAGCAGTGTGTAGGCCTTCCATTCTGTAACTTGATTCCTTAGACATTCTGTTTAGAAGGGAACGTCAGAGCCAGTCTATGAGTCTCGACCCATTTACAGTGTAATCGGCCAGTCGGAATCGTTCGATTGCCTATCTTTCCCTATGCCGTATCGTGTAGTAGAGGCTCGACATGCTACGTACCATGCCAGTCATAGAATGACATGCCAGGGCCAAAGTGACGTCGTGACGATGAACAGACACGCAGGGATATGTTAATGATATCGAATTATTTGTCCATCGCACTGAATAATCTACAGCAAACATCATGGGAGGTCTGAATGTCGGTCTGATTCCCATAGTTTGAGATTCATCTTTGTTACTAGAAGCGCGTGGAACACGACTTGAGCACTAGAGAATGCTTGAGCTTGGTTAACTAAAGCTGATGAACGAAACGTACCTAGCCATCCAGTTACCATACGATGCCTTGGGATGTCATGTCAACACAGATTTCGATTTCCAGTAAAGAGGAAGCTCTGACCTGCATTAGGGCCGTCGTTAAGATGACAAGAACAGAAGAACCTAAAAGATTTTTCAGTAACCAATCTTCATGTTCTAAACATGACCATTCCTCACACAATCCACAAGCAAAGTAGAATATGTTGTGCTCGATGAGGATCTCGAGCAATCGATTCTCGCCACCCCACTTTTTTAAGCTTTTTGTGGCTTTGTATAGGGAAAATAACACGATTTCTGTACGGCGTCAAAATATACTTTTCGAGATTGACAGGATGAAAGCTCACGCAATTCTGCAAGAATAAGTAGACTATATGCCGCGACGATGACGTCATTCTCCCCGGAATCAAGACAGCTTACAGAGGGCATCGGTACTATCATCACTAGATGTATATAATCAATGATCGGTTGAACGTCAACGGGAGCAGGTGGATGGGGCACTTACTTATCGTTGACGACGTATGCATCTTCATGATCACAATACCCAATATGATATAGAGCTAAAAGAATTGAGTTGAATACAAAAGCACGAGATTTAGCCACATACTGCTGTACTGATCGTAAAAAACAGAACAATCGATCGTTTGTTTCCCCAAAGTACACATGTACGTGCGACGAATATACCTGGAAAAGAGCGTGAATGAGATTGCAAACATGGTGCGTGTTCAAAGCATACATTCCGCGCATACCAATATCACACCACCAATGTCTAGGAGCGCGTAGGTGTTAATATCTCAAATGAACGATCTGCCACAAATACTGACAAGTGTTCAAAGTATAAAATATCTGGCACAGCTGACCCCAGAAAATCAGCCTCGGAGGTAGCAAGAAGTATGCTGAACTCACAGATACGGTCTGTGATGAAGCGGGTTGTACCCACACTAGGAAACTCAAAGTTTACCAATTAGACAGCGAAGAAATTGCATATTCGACGTACTGATCATCCCCAAAGTCATGAAGACAAACGGGAGATAACGACAGATCAAGTATAGGAATTTAATCATGCACCATCGTCCATGGAATAGATAAGTGACCTGGGGTTAAAACGAATGTTCAGACAGGCGATTGACATACGAACTCCTAGTAACGTACCTCGCTCGAGATCGTGATCAAGTAGTTGTACACCTATATCAAAGAAAGTTATTTCAATACCCAACAAAAAATAGAGCGCTAGTATTCACCAAGACACATGCTATGGCCACTAATTTGGACGATCAGTTGCGGTCCATATTAAGTGTGCATAGAGACGGTTACCATTAGCGTACTGACCAAGTTGATGAGCCACCATCACTAACTCGTACTGGAAGTACTTACATTCAGGCGTAATAACATAATTCCCAACTCAGTTAATTCGAGTGTGGAGTAGTCTGAGAGTGAGCTCATCACAATTATCACTAGTAGTCGTAGATAGGAGAGTTAAGAATTAAGGAATGCAATATTACTCGCGCTGAAGTAACTGAATATAGGAGAGTTAAGAATTAAGGGATGCAATATTACTCGCGCTGAAGCAACTGAATATAACTCAAGCAAGTCGGTGCGCTTCCGGTGCATACCAGTGTCTCAAGAGCGCCTATGCAATGCATAAACGGCACGTCATGTGGGGAACGTTGGACCTGTCCACGTTCCACTATATCATTAGCCTATCAAAATTCGACGTTCAATTGGCAAATACCTTGATAGATTCCGTGCCCTGGTTTTCACAACGGAAAACCTGCTTCTGTGAGGTACCGAGCATCTATCCGAAAGGGCCATTCCTCCGGCTAAGACCAGTCCGGAGCAGCGTACGGCGCTACGGTGGATATATCTGCAGTCCGCCGACCATCCATTTTATTGATGCGCATTGGATGAAACCAATGATCGTAGTCGACCAGGTCCCATATGGTGGAAATCCACTGGGAGTTGCTCGTACATCGGCTCCACATTCTCTGCGCTTGATGGTCATACTACGAACGTCGTGAAAGTGGCTGAAGGTGATCATCTTGGCCTAACAGAAACCTTTACCGGGCAACCGGTTCGAAGTTCGCCTGTGTCTGTCATGGAAAAAAGGAGACGTTAAGGTATCCCGACCCGCAGCCATGCAGTCCTGTGCTGAACATGGGCGTCAGCTTAAAGTCATGAACCAAAGATATAACTGCAACGCCTGCTTGTGACAGTGATACAGCCACATAGTACCTGACAAGAACTTTGGGAATGGCATCCAATGACAAGCTTCGTATAAACCTCACAAAGTGCGCAATGGATAACTCGGCAAATGTATCGTCGCGGTAGAGCGCTAAGCGCTTCAGCAAATTGGGTTAACTAGCAGTTAAGGATTTACGATTGGCTGGCTGTAAAACAGCCATGACGTAATCAGCAATAATATGTGATTAAGTAAGCTAAGCGAAAACATTACATTTGCCAACGTCCCTTCCCTTCTTCTTCATCTTATACCTCATCACTCTGCTCAAATTAATTATCCTCTTTAATCATGTCTACCTTCCCCATCTTTCACACCTTAAACAGTGGAGCTGGCTTCCCTGGATTATCCTCCTACTCTGCTGAGCAGATATCATTAGCCCCTATGGAGCAACCCCTATATGATCAAAAAGCCGCCGACCTTGCTGCGCTGGATTTAATACCAGAAGATGACTGGCTTAAAATTCTGGGACTCCAATCCTCATCTGCGCCTGGTGAATATTGGATGCACGTCGACTCTCCTCCCATTGCGGAGTCAGACGTCCAAAACGATTTCACCGCTGCCATTCGCACAAAAGTCTCCCATCCTCGGGTAGCTCATGCGTGCGATCACTGCAGGCGCAGAAAAACAAAAGTGAGTGCTCTTGTCATTCATTCCACTTTTGGCTGACGTTTTGGGACAAGTGTTCGGGGGAACAGCCGGTGTGTACGAGCTGTAAGAAAAGAGGCAAGGTGTGCCAGTGGACTCCTATCAAAACCACCAAGGAACGGCGAAGCCGGAAACCTTACGATGTTGGTTCTGAATACCGCCCTCGACCAAGTACATCTGCCCCATATATCGTGGCGCCTAGGGCGACTTATCCGAGCGTTATGCTCCCGAATCCGATGACCATTTGGTCTATCGAGGATGCTATGTCTGCAGCGCAGGCTAGTACGATTTCGAATGCGTCTTCTAGTAGGAGCGAGCTTTCTATGCAAACACCCACTGGTTGGAGCCCTCGGTATGACTCGGACTGCGATGTTGAATGGATCCCGTCCCCTTCTTCCTCCTGCCTTTCATTGGGGAGTGATGACTCATCTCGCGAATCGTCGCCTTTGGACACGCCCACACCTGACCCGATATATTTTTCTGGGGAGGAGCCGGCGCAGGATATAGACGATTTCTTCAAAGATCTATATCAAGCTCTATCTCCCGAGTGGTCTTCTGTCTTACAAAGCTGGCCGGAGATGCCTTTTGCTCAGTAAGCTTTATTGCCACGTCGTCTTTCGTGGGTTTGCAGTATGGACGCTTTTGCGATACCTTGTGTTCTTAATGTAGTGAAAATAAAACACTTTTATTTCATAACTCGAGTTATTTTTACTTGAAGCGCATTTCGTGAGAGCCTCTTGGCTAGAAAATTCCACGTACGTTTCTTCAATGAAATTTACAATTTTCCAAAGCAGTGCAGCGTTAATCCTCATGATGCCAAGCTACCGCGGAGCGAAAACACTCACGCTAGAGAACCAGTCCTCAAATATAGCCCAGTGTGGGCGTATGAATTTTTGATCGTTGTGGTAGTACATGTACAGTAGAAAACGAAGCTGCACTAAGCAAATATAGAGGCGATATGAATTACAAGTGGTGGAGTAAAGAACAGAGAGAGGCGAGACGCAAAAGTGTTGGTGTATATGGTGATCTGACGGAGTGAATCAACTACTGCGCTCGCTACCTGGAACTGCGGTGCTCACCAAATGGGACGCCTTAATGCAATGCAAATGCGGCAAGTGACAGTGGCGATACAAGTTGGGAGTGAGTTTGAACAGAGTGATATGAGCCAACCGATAGATATAAGAGCGCATTAGGGTTGAGCTAGTTGTTGACATAACCGAGAACTTGTTGAAACTCCGATAAGGCCATTATTGTTGGTACAGTTTGAGAAAAGTGTTCGCGCGAGAGCCCAAGGGGTATATGATAAGACGAAGAGATTGTGGGCATAATGCCTGTTAATTGAAGCCGTCGAAATGACCCTTGAGGATCCTCTCGCCCATGGGAGAAGGGGCGCGATGCCGGCGACCAGTGTCAATGCTCACCGTTGCCGAGCGCCTTGCCTTGCGAACCGGAAATGAGGGTAAAGTTGTTGTGGCAGGGGAGACTGCGGAGTTAGGTGGAGCAGTAGGGATCGTGGGACTTTGAGAGCTCGTATTATCCATGTTTGGAGGCTGAAGAATGAAGAGAATTAACGGCGCACGACATATACTTTTTAGAAATATACCTTTGCGAGTGCGCTTCCGAGAGATAGACGCCTTAACAACCCAGCTCCACGGTCGGTCTGGGCTTCAGGGGCAGGTGGAGTGGGCGCAAACCGCCCAGTTGCACCAGCCCAACGGGAATGAACAGATGCTGGAAGTTCGTCGAGGGCGTCTTCTGTGTGGACGGGGATGAGTTAGTGAGGGGAAGAGGGCAAACGACCAAGGAACCGACCATCAAATGAAGGTTGACCACCAAAGCCGCGGTAAGGAACCGAAGATGGGGATTTTGAGGTTGGAGATTGGGAGAGAAACGAAAGGATGGGAGAACTGGATGGGGAGGCAACCGGAACATGTGGAGAGTTTAGACTCAATGGAGTCGGAGGAGAACCAGGTAAAGTTGATGATTCCGAGGAAACAGACATGGAGCGGTGCCTCCAGTGATGAGTAGCCATCGGAATTGGTTGAGAGTGTTTCACGGAATCGTCCTTTTCATTATTGTCTCGGTTCATGTTGATTTTGCTGGTATAGTGAGTAGAAGAAAGGAGAGCAAGAGTTTAGATTTCTCAGATCAGTCAGACGACCTTTATAATTGGCGATGGCAAACCCCGAGTGTGTCATCCCACGTGGTCATCGCCTTACGATTTTGTGTGTTCAAATCGATCGAACCGATCATTTCTCCTCTTCGCTGCGTTGTAGTTGAACTCCTTTCTTGAATGTGAATGCGAGTGCGAGTGCAGGGAGATGGTAATGAATCACGGCAATGAGGTGAATAATTGTGGGGTAAGTAGATAATGCGGGGGTATGATCGAAAACTTAATGGAGCTGTAAGACATGTACTTGTCAGGACTCATACCGACAGCGTGAGCTCGGGTTGAATCATTGAGTTTGTAGTGTTTCACAGAAATTGTAATTGCGCTTTGTGCAATGGAAATTGAATGATAGCTTGAACCAATGTTCCAGAGCTAAATTGCAGAATTGGGAACGGCGCAAAGTCTTTCCATACTTGTAACACACATTGCAGTTCAACCAATGGTTCACACAAGTGACAGATACATGTGTGGGGAGATTTCACTCCTGTGCACTCATGCTCCAAGCAACGTTTGTGTACGTATTGCTTATCTTATCTTTGCCTCCTACGCGTTCGTCATTCTAACTGTGTAAGGGGGTTTCAAATCAGCTCATTATGATTCATTTAGAACCTTCTAAATTTGGAATTTGCTTCTCAATTATCCCTGTAAACTGCGACCCTGTACGCGATCCGCAGTAGGCGTCACGGTGGCACATGACTTCGCAGGGACAAGTAAAGTGCTAGACTCGCCCAATCTAGAACTAGGTTTGCGGTATACTGTGCCGCGGAACAGGTGCAGAAGAACCACGTGCAGGTAACTACCCTCGACTACTAGCTTGCTCGAACCTCGAAACCGGCCCAGCTACCCGCCTCATCGAGATTTCTGCCAGTCCACTGTCCTAGCAGCTCATAGACGAGCCTCAAGACCTGGTGTACGTGTTTGCTAGAAGCGTGACATGGGGGTAGTGACTGCGTGGATTGTAGGGGATTGCAAATTGCCATCAATTTCAAACCCTTATCTCCGCTCAGCTCAAGCTCCACCAGCAAATACTGCAGACAATCCTCGCAGTATTCGCTACCGGACCGTCTGCGTGCATACCGCGGTACGCTGAAACACTGCACAGCGGCATTAGAATTTCACTCTTCGACAGCAGAACCGTCTCATCGTACTCGGGGCCGCGGTGCTTTCGAGTTTGATGGTAACAAGCAGTTTCAACTGGGCGGCACCTATATTTGGCCTTGACTTGAAGCAATGCAAGCATAGACGAATTCAGCAAAGAAGACGTGGCTAGCAGTCTGACTACTACCATCTATCTTTACTTCGGCCTCGGTCCCTTACATCCCGTTTGCCCATCGGCTCCGGAATTAATATCCTTCTCTCTCCCTTGTCTCAATTCCGTTCGATGCATACACCACAGATCAACAACAATGTTACCAGTGACAACGGCGTCATCGACCTTTCACATCACCTCTCAGATGAGGCTAGGATTCGAGTTGCCAACCCACTAAAAGATATCATGCGAGTGATCAGCGAGTGCCCAGTCACTGATCTAATCCCTATGGCAAACGGTAATCTCACTGTCATGCACAGTGGTGAAATGTAGTCAAACAGATGCCTTCCAGGCGATCCTCATCACTCGTTCTATCCTTTCCAGCAAATCATGTACGAAGTACCATCTGTACAGGACCCATCTGATCCAGTCACCTCATGGAACAACTCTGGCCGAACGCAGATCTTCCATTCCTATAGAGATCAAGAGTGCGCACTACCCATTAGTAAAGCCTTCCGGTATTCCCGCGCTGCTGGTCTGGTACAGTGCAAAGATGCACTCACCAATTTCTCAAACTTGATATTCGCTCCACCGAATCATCATGTCATGCTGACATTCGGGAACTCTGATGGTCTCACAAAGGTCTTTCGTCTCTTCGGCCAGAAGGGAGATTATTTCTTGACCGACGAGTTTTCTTATCCCGGTCAGTGAGAGTAGGCTATTTCATATTGTTCTGAACTAATCTCGTTGTCCCGTAGGTATAACAAACTGTCCTCTCCCATACGGCGTCAAATGGGTTGGTATCAAGATGGATTCCGGTGGTATCATTCCTGAGGAGCTAGAAAAAGTTCTCATCAGATGGGATGAGGCGAAATTAGGACGACGACCTCGCATTCTCTATCTCGTTCCGTAAGCTTCTAAACTTCAGTCTGAATGCACACCACATAATGTATCATAATCAGGGTTGGCCAGAATCCAACTGGATCAACATTGAGCGTGGATCGTCGCAAGAAGATCTATGCCATCGCACAAACATGGGATTTAATTATCATAGAAGACGGCAAGTCGACTCGGCAGTGTCATCGCATTTCGTCTAACATTCTTCTCGTAGATCCATACTATTTCCTGCGATACGATGTCCCTCAAACGAACTGCGCGTCAGCAGATCCTGATGAATTTATCAAGAATTTTACAAGCACTTTGATACCTACGTTCCTGTCAATGGATGTCGACGGCCGTGTGATTCGTCTCGACACGTCAGTACGCCTAGTAACCGAGCTTAGTCACCTTTTTGATCATTGTCTACAGGTTCAGCAAAGTGCTTGCCCCTGGAATGCGATTGGGTTGGATCACAAGCAACAAGCTTTTCCACCTAAAGTTGGGAGAATATACCGATTCATCGACCCAGCCGCCGCACGCCTTCGGACAGATGTTCGTCACCGAGATGCTTAGCGAACACGGCTGGAAAATCGAGGGCTTCTGTCGGTGGCTGAGAAGCTTACGCCTGGAATACCAGAACCGCCTTGATTTCCTCCTAGACGTTTTCCAGCGCGAAGTAGAACCCACCGGTTATGCCAGCGTAAAGCGCCCTGAAGCAGGGATGTTCGTGTGGATAGAAGTATTTTTCGAGAAACATCCTCGGTTCGTTCACGAACGGTGTTCTGGTGGCTCGCCTGTTGTTGCGCGGACTAATACGGAATGCCTCCTGAAGGAGCTTTTTGAGACGTTGATGAATGTTCAAGGCGTCGCCTTTGTGCCGGCTTCCATGTTCACTATTCCAGAAAATGCTCTGTGGGTGGAAAGCGATGGGCATGTGCCGTTGGGCGATGTGAGTGTCATGGATTCAGCAGTACTTTGTCTGACTCTGCGACAGCGCACCAGGTTTCTACGCGCAACGTTCGCTAGTACGGAGGACATCATCGAAAAGGGTATGATACGCCTTGGCAAGGGTTTACGAGAATTCTTTCAAGAATAGCAGGAAGAGCATCCGCAGTGATTACAAGTACACGCAACATTAAAAGTACATGCGTTCGTGATGAAAGAATAAATCGCGATCACAAAGGCACAGGATCTTCAAGCGTCAAAGTCTTGTCCGCGACACGCCTCATGAGTTCATCCGCCCTATCCAGATTCGCTTGTATCTTCTGGTCTCTGCCACCCATCGCCAGCTCAGAGACCGCCCATATTTTCTGCATCTTGGGTACCGAATCCCGTAAGCCGGTCGCTATCCTGAGGAAGTTTTCAATCGGGACGCCGGCATTTCGCATGCAATCCATCGTGCAATTTAGGTACCCTGGAAAATGGTTATTAAAAGCGTGCACAGTCTGCGCTGGAACACCCACATGCACGCAACTCGTCATCCTCGGGGTATTTGCTGGATGCGTGCTTGTACTCCCCTGCACCTTTCACATAGCTAAACATTTTTTCCACAAGATTAGAAGTGTATTTGGCCATTTGCACGTGATAGAATCCGAGCATCCTGCGAAGCAAGGCGATGGTTAGCAGGGGACCGGAAGCACGGAGAGGGAAAGCATACGCATGAGCAAGTCCGTTAGGGTAAACGATGAAAGATGATATGAAGCCGGGGTCAACCGGCTCATCACCACGTGTCTGTACAGCTATCTCGCTCTCTTTGAGAAGGTACTCAGCTTCTTCCTTTAACTGTTCAAGAGGGAACTTGGAGTCCAAGCCAGGGTCGTCGGTATAAGCCTGCCATGCAATTTAATCCACGTCCGAGAAATATAGCGATGCGCGACCCACGTTCATGAACATCTTGAGGTACATACTCCGGATGCCTATCAAGAACGAATGCTCGAAAATCGCTCCCCTGCTGGACTTGGGAACATCCTTCCAGATAGTCCTGCCCCATTCGACCAAGTCGAGAGCTCGTCTGTAATACTGGACACCAGCCTGAGGTTGGTCTCTTAAACCGCCTTCGAATGCAGCTCTCATTATCCATGCGCTAAAGCGAATGATCAGCAAAGTTTTTGAAGATAGAACCCGTCCTTGCGCACCGAACGGTCACGGCCAATGCGGGGCGTACATCATCCCAGCCATTCTCCTTCAACCGTTTCTGCGCCAGTTCCTTGACGGTCTCGAGTCCTTCAGAATCCCAACCCTTGCGAGCCGTAACTTCGAAATAGACTGTACTTTGGTTAGTATATTTTCAAAAGACGATGCTAACATAAGATCACCTTGTTGATTGTACATTTCAATCCAATTAGGTTGATTGATATGGAAGACGCGATCGTCACGCATAAAACCATTGCTCAAGTCCGTCAGCCCCTGCGCCGTGTAAGCATCAAAAAATAGCATGGGCATAAAACGACTCTGAACTCGCCTCTAGGTTTCCGCGGTGCACAAAAGTGCCTGGTTTTTCAGACTGAGGTATTATTTTCATTCCCTTCATCGCTTCTACCCCTTTGCTGAATTCCTAGTAAAGACTTCATTGTCAGCATACCACCATTTATCGAAAAACCGCAAATATCACCTCATACGCAAGTGCGACGACCCAAGCCTGCACCCACCGACAACACTCAGTGAAAGCATGCAAAACTACGACTCAAGCTCACGCTGCTAGACATTTTCGCAGGACCCGCTCTCTGGAGCTCAGGAAGCATATCCGTCGCGATCTGCCAAGGGAACTTGCCCGATTTCTCATTCATCGAGAGAGGGACGATAGGCGGCCCATTTAAACGCGCATTCGCTGCTTTCAGATTAGCAGTATACTGTTCTTTTTGTTGTCGTTCTACAGGGCTGAGATTAGTTTTTGGCAGCGCATCCAGCGCCTTTTGCCAAGCATGAGCGCTTTCCCTCCAATCCGCAAGCGCCTATGCACAGCAAGTAAGCCCAGCCCAATCGGGACCAAAAGAACATACGTCTCTGGATGCCGCCAATCGCGACCACGCTTTTGCATAGCCCGGATCGATCTCTGTAGCCTAACACACGCATTAACATCATGCAGCATCCACGACTGTAGGAAGGGTACCATATGCGCATCGTCCACAGCATCTAGACATCTATTTAAAGATCGAAATCAACACAGCTTAAAATACATAACATAATAATAAAACTCACTTGTTCAGGGCATGGTTGCAAGCGGCGCGGTTTGCATATAGAACAGCATTCTTATCATCCAAAGCGATGGCTTCTGTGTATTTGATGATCGCCCCGATGTAGTCTTGCTTCTTGAATAACTCGTTGCCTTCGTCCTTGAGCTGTGCGGCTGTTGGTTCGGGCATGTTCGAAAATCAGGAAGGAAGCTTCGAGCACTAGTTGATGTGTGGCGTTGCTGCCGTTGATGTGGATGAGATGATTGTTCCGAAGACGCTAAGGCGAAGAGAGACCTTTGGGAATGTGGTGGTGGAAGCTGACGTTAACTGGGGTTTGTGCAGACTTTGAGGCGGGGGCAATTGGTCTACACGAGGCCAGACCATCGATGTGCGTTTGTTAATTGTTACGTGTCGGCGAGGTCGACTCATCTAGGCGTGGCCGGCATATATTACACTCTAGTGCGGGCAAGTGGCGTACTCGCGATACAAGTTATGCGTCGACTAACCATGATGCACGATGTTCTAGCGCTCGTTCAGACTGTAATATATGGTCAAGATATCTCAAATTGGACTGGTAGGTGTCTCATCTATTAGGTATGCTGAAACGTAATCGATTACTAGTATACAGTGAATTAATCTGTATCAAAGGAGAGAACGGGTTGTGCTTATTACTAACCCAAGGAATTAACGTGACCGACGAATGTAGTGAGCGGGGATATCAGATCGCAAAAGTGATTCGATCGATAACGGGTGTAAAAGTACATGCAAAAAGTATGCAACGAGGTTTTCATATTGGGTGGATGAATAGGCGCTATGTATGCCTTTAAAAGCCTTGAGAATGAATGTGGACGGCGACGTGTGTGAGTGTCCGAAAAGGAAGTGCGAAGGATTATGCGTGACCCGTAAAAGAATGGAGGGCGTCTTTCAAATTGTAACGATGCGCGAGAACAGCTAATTTGTTTAACAGTAGTCACGAGGCAGGGAGCATCAACCCTTGAATCCGAAGATCCGCGTGATCAATCCAAGAATGCAAGTTCACTCAGTCGGCGACTCTCTGCGTCTTGGATACCCTTGGTCTCAGATAGTATGCTTCCACGGTTATGCATCGTCGGCCTGATAGATACCCGTGGAGAGGAATGTTGACTGGAAGTACTGGATAGATCCGCACTGGACCTTAAACTCCCAGTCACCGAGCGCCGCAAATTGGTGAGCGAGTTAGTACCGAATCTGGACAGATGTGTCGAGACCGATGAGCGTCTGCGAACATTTGACTCTGATGTACGCCGCCGGGATGGAGGGGCCGAGAGTGGAGAACACGAGTTTTCTTTGTCCGGTATAACGGGAGGGGATGTGTCCGGCCGAGATGGTGATCCTAGAGCTGCTTGATAGCTAGAGAACGTACCAGAAATAGGGCTTTCGACAAGAATGGCGTGATCTTGGGGAAAAGAATTCTCCACTGGGGTGGACATAATTATGGGCGGCTGAACATGGTGCGGTGGCGGCGGCGGTGTTGGAAGCGCATGCTCTGCAGGCTCCTCTTCGAGTACTTCTAGGTGTGAAGATGGGGATAGTGGTGGGACGCTACTGGAAATTGAGGATCTTGCTTTGAATGGCATCTCGGCACTAAGGTCCGCGCGAGCGCAATCGGAATCACATGCTGAGGATTGGGGTAGTGAAGAAGATGCCGAATATGACACCCCTGATGCCAGCGCACTAAAGCTGGGCAGCTGTCTTGGGTAGACAGAATCCGAAGCACGTGTTTCAGACGAACGATTTGCGGACATCCATTCTTCCTTAATCTTTGATGCCGCACTGAAGCCACTCTGGGCTTTGTCAGGGGCGGGGACGGGAGCTAAGCGCTCATCGGCCTCACGCTCTTGTTGGCTAAGATCTTTCATTGGAGGAAGCAAACCACGCTCGCGCAGGGCAGCCTGACGATTCTCACGAGAGACAAAGGAGTTAGGAAGTGTGGGAGAATGAACAGGAGTGACGCGTGGTGATCGAGGAGGTCGGGAAGAGCCCGAGTGCCCCACACCAGCTGGGGCACGTGCTGGACGCGGGGGTGACGGTTCAAGCTGTGAAGATGAGGGAGTTGCCGGAACTGTGATGTGTAACCTAGATGTTACGCGACGAATCAACGACGGCTTCATGGTAGGTGATGGTTTCGTTGTTGGCGGTAATGATTTATGGATATTGGTATTTGACCTGTAAGTAGAAATGTCAACGAATTGGTAGATGAAAACCCTCGGAACAGAATCCGAGATGAAAAGCGAATAAGAGAGAAGAGAAGTTGGAGTTCCAAGAACATATATTGCTGCAACAACCTCCGCACAAGTGCCATGGTAAGAAATGACCGAAACTTACCTTAGGAGACCGACGAGCTTCTCGGTTGCCTCCACTGGTTGCTCGAGGAAATGATCACTAGACTTTTCGTTCACCACTTCATCGTGAAAAACTTTGCTTGTGCTCGTTGTAGGTATTCCGGGTAGTGCCTTTTGAACATCCCGGGGTCGGTGCGGGGGTTGGCGGATGTTCTTTGGAGTGCTGATGTGGAAACTCGTACGACGCTCGACCTTTTCAGGTGAACATGAGCGGTCGCTGTCGTCCTCGCTAGGAGGTGGAAGTGGTTTGGCAGAAGACTTTGACCACCAGCGAAGGCGAAAAGCATCAAAGCCGATAATAGATGGCATAATTATTGTCTGGCCAGCGATGAACTAGAACCGGGAGTAAGGAAGGGGAGGACAAGTTGGGTGTCTGCCCTTTTAAGTGAAACGGGAATAAGTTAACACACACGGTATGGGGAGGAGCAAGCGTGACGGACCTTGTTCGACTTACAGTAACCGAGGTCTAACGGAACGTCACAGGACTAAACCACAAGGGGTGGATAAACATATTCGGCATTGGTACCTAGCTATTAGTGAGGGCACACCTAGGCTAATAGACAAATATTTGAAACTTTGAAGCATGTTTCCCTGCAGTTGTTAATATTTTCTTACACGGTTCCGCAACAAAAAAGACTTCTACGCGGGTATGAATGGCGATAAAATTTTTTGATGGCTTGGGAGGTCGAGAAAGAGCTCGTCAAACGTCAGTGTAAGCGCTCGTAAGGCTTCTCTTTAAAAAAAACTATAACAGAGCGCCGTTAGGGCGGTAGTGCCTATGACCGACTACTACTCCGCGTCGTATGTATTTCTCCTCCAAAATGTTTCAATGCAATGAATGAAGTTTTGACATAAATTTTGAATGACATCTAATTTATATCTAAATCCTTTATATGTACAAAAGCAGGTCAGGTCACACCATTCGGCGAGAAGCAGTCATATCGTTTTATGGACCGCTGCAAGGCCGCTGAGAACTTTAACGAAAAAGCTCAATGGATCAAAGGAGTCGAAACTCGTAGCTTCCATCATTGATCATCATCCAATGATCAGTGCTTCGCTAACCATGTTTGGGCATTCTTCAAAGTTCACCGTTGAACGAGGTAGTGCACGAGGCTTCGCAGTGGCTATGGATCCATGTGTCCGACGTTCAGCAATGGCCGGTTATTACTTCTTCGCTAAGGTCGCTTAATCGTCAACTGACGGCGTGGAGCACCGTGGAACTGGAATTCCCCGTAGTATTCTCTGTATTCTCCGTCTGCTAACTATTAGGCAGACTTACTAGGCAGACCATTTTTCCCCTAACGACTTCTCAGTGTCTCCACCGCAATGTTTTAACTCCTTTTGAATGTAGAATAAGTTTGAAGGTGCGATGGCATAGTGACTGGCGAAATGAAAATTAATGACTTTGACAGGCCACTTCGGCGTTTTGCGTCCTGCCCTGCTTCATTGACTTGTTGCTCAGTTACACTCAGGCGTTGTGAACTCGTTGTACAGAAGTACTTGGACGATCAATTGTCGATATCAAGTTGTGGCGCCGGAAACAGGAAAGAGTTTTGATATCCTCCGCAAGTAAGTATGATAACATGAAGAGCACTAACTTCGATGGTGCATGATTCGCAGATTTCGAGCAGCCCTGTGGAGTTCAGGTGACGGATGTCCTGTTGCCTGGTGCCTCCTGGCGCTCGTGGTTTCGAACAAGATATAGATTGATCGGGGAACTACATTCACGCAGATAGGTCACTTTATCCCGGTAGTCTAATATTCAAAAGAATTGGACTGGACTAGATCGCACAGATTGATTGCCTGTGGTACCACGACCGTAGTTGGAATCGCGGCTCCGTTTGACGATGTACTCGATAGTTATACCGGCAATAGCTGATACGAACAACACCAACGGTTGTACAAGAGATTCAGAAGTCAGCGCCATTTGAATATCCAACCTCCGTTCAAGGTCCTCACTTTTCCATGTTTGCTTGTAGGCACTTCATATCCGTGCAGTCATGAGAAATTCGAGTGCGAAGGAATGAACGAATGAGTGAAGCTCTTGTGGTGATACGAGCACTTGCTGTGGCGCATCCCTCAATTAGGCAAATGGAGAACTCGGACCGTTGTCTTCGCGATGACTTAGGCGAAAAGCATTTTCGAAGCGCGAGGATCGGAAATTTCCCGGTAGGAAAACTGCTTTGGGCGCTTCACCCTCTCTTTCCCTCAGCGCTTCATGCATACTTCCACAGCGCAATTCAGTGTAAACGTGGCAAACCCCGATGTCCTCGTCAAAATAAAGGTGGGTTTTACCCATTGGCGATCTCGTAAGATATTGAATCGTTCTGATGAGGCTATTCAACGTCGCAGTATGCTTACGGTACGTCCTATCATGCTATGCCATGTCACACTGCATACTGACCCAAAACCGTCTTGGCAGTGGCTTTATGTACCCTATGGGTAGGTAATGCGGCCATATCACTCCTTCTCCAACTAAAATTTCGGTCAATTGAGGCTTATGACTACGTCACTACATTGGATGAAGAGGTGCGAGCTCCACTATGAAAGCAATTCTACCAGCGATAACACCATTGTCAGCTGTCATTTGTTACGGGATCGACCTGGAGAATCGTCAAATATCTCTATCTCGTGTGTCGATATGTACCTTTCCTTTATCTAACTGCAATCTCAAGCCGTGAGTCCGTTTGAGCTGCCTTCTCTGTCTTGACATGCCCCATTTATCAATATTATCAAGGGACACTAGATAAATACCCATCGCTCAGCGTAAGTCCCCGTCGACTCTCACCGGACTCGGCGCCCTTTTAACGACCCTTGTGTAGATGTGTCAAACGTTGTATTCCATGAATTCGTGTAAGTCACTGAGCCAGTTTGGCTGTCGACGCCAGTCATCCGACCTGAGTCATGTTCCGCAGATCTCGGTATCGCGATAATTGTCTCAGCAGAGAGTATGCCTTATCTGCACCATGTGCCACAGACAAGACTGATCATGTGTATCAAGGCATATTTTTTGTACGCACATATGTCATTTGGGACCGTTCAAAACTGGTGCTATGGACGTTCATCGGCAGTGTTACTGTAAGATTTGGCATGTCCCTTGTCTCCGTGCTTTTCGCATTGCTTAATCACGTTAGTTTCTCCTGACGCCCATAGTTGGCATTCTTGTGAAATACAATTCCTCGACAATCAGTAAGCGCCCCTCCTGATATTCCGTAAACCATCTGATTGACTCTTTAGTCACCAATTGGGTCGCCACCGGGGTACCGGGCTGTTCCAAGACGGGTGAAACCTCTGCTGTACTTTATGTGTATGTCCTTATGATCATCGCCGAGTTAGGTGAGAGCCATGCGATATTTTTCGAATACCATCTAACCGATTCCAGAAATATTGTGTTTGACATTGTATCAAGCCATTGCTAGATACCGACGTGAACGGAGTGCCAACGTGCTTAGGGTCCTTGTGCAGCATAATATATTCTACTTTTTGTGCGGAGTTGGTAAGTTTTGTCATTCTTTTCCCTCAGGCACAAAGTGTAATACCGCGTTTAATTCGTAGGATCTTCCGGCGTGCTCATAGTTGCGATTGCAATATTTCCTGTCAGTACCTGATTTTTAAAGTTGACTTGAATATTACTGATTTGATCGGCGTACAGCCATCTTACTCTGATTTGGTGTCCAGGTCGGTGTCAGATTTTGTCGACAATTTACCACGCTGACCGCCTAAGAAGCATACAAATTACCGTCCATGCCGCGCTGGTCACAAGGATGCACCGAGCACTATGGAAATACAATGCAGACTATGCCCATCCAGATGAATTTTCCCTGACCACATTCAGTGCTCCTTCACCATTACGGTCCCGGACTGTGCAAAGCGCGGTTAGTTATGTAAGTAATGCTGCAATTTCATGGTTCATCCAACTTGACAAGCAACAATTAAGTATCTGGACGAACCTTTTGGGAAGTAAAGATCGGGATCACACTCTCGACAGCGACCATTCCGATGACAACACCCTTTTATGCGAATGGACATACGATTCGCCACAAGACTCCCTCGCTGACACATAGGAGCGAGCACGGCGATAGTCATCGATCACCCTCGAGCAGCATCAGATTTGCTGTTTTAGTTAAAACTCCATAGCAAGCCATCGGACGTAGACTCAATTGATGTCAGATGATTTGATCTACATAACCATTTCATTGTGGTCATCTTTAGGGTGGATTTATCTCGGTGAGCTCGGATCTGTGGAGACGGTGAGATGCAATCAAAGTTTCGACCGCGGAAACGGCTGCGCGTATGAGAATCTTAGGGGGAGAATTTCCTGACCTGATAAGGTTCTTGTTGGTATGATTGCGGTGTCTATACATGCTCCGCTGACGCACCATACGCTTCGGAGAGTTCATCAAGGGCTGATGTGATGGAAATGCCATTCCTAACATTTGAGGTGAAATCGCAAAAAAGGGTCCCGAACGCCATCAGATTTCCAGTCCGGGGAGAACCCAGGACTTGGGGCTGCGTCACTCAAGCACGACAATACATATTCGGCGTAATTGGTGGTCCGTCCGGGTGACAATGCACGAGTGACACCGATTGACACACCATTGTATATTCTCGCAAGGAAATCCATGGTATTTGGTCAAGGCGATGAAAGGATACTCCGATAGCTTGCCTAATACACACGTATAGCAGTCGGTATAATGAAACGACTTTTATGAACTGACTGTTTGTCAACGAATGCATAGCAGCAATGGAGTAAACATACCTATCTATGATTCTATCCCAACCATCAATTACTCTACTCGTCCTCATAGCCTTGTACAGGCTTTCTCGGCCGTTTCGGCACTGAAGTGAAGAGTCGCATTCAGATCAACACGATGCGGACCAAAACCGTATGGTTAACGACGTACAAGGATATGAGGTAGGTATGGGCTCCGCGGGAGTGTATCCGAGCCAATTCCTTCTGACTGCGGGTACAGTCAGAGCAAGCACTGGTCCTGCGAGCCCGATGACGCAAGAGTAAAAGATGACTGGCTGTTCATGTGCGAGATATTGCTAGGGAGTATTGGCCAAGGATATTAACACTTCATGTCAAATAGTACGTACTAGATGCCTGTATCCTCTTCGGAAAGGAGAAAAAATGGACGCCATGAGATGAGAAAGAACAATGCAGACACCAGATTTGTGGGCCTACTGGAACTTCGAGGTTCGGAAGAGGTTGTATTTGTTTGCACTTGTTGTGTAAAGGCTTTAGAATTAAACATGAATAAACAACCATTCAAGCTTCAAGCATTTGGGTATTTTAATCGTTCCACCTCAAATTACTTTGCTTCCTGGATAGATATTAGGTGGAATCTAATGGAATTGAAGATATAATAGGTCCAAAAGGCGATTCCGGTGGATAGGTTATTGCCATAGAACACACAAAAGCAAGGTGTCTTCGTACTGTCCCCTTCAGGATCACGTACAAAATCCTCATAAATAATGTGTTTTTACTTTGTCCTGGGCGTTAACTTGTTGCTCCTTTGACAGCATCAATATCTGCTAGTGAAGTTCGTCCTCTCTTTTGCGTATGTGAATCAAATTGCAAACACTGCCCTCTGGTCCACAAGCTTAAAGCTTTGGCACAGTACTAGTGTATATGCATATCTTATATGCGAATGTATGTTGGTCATACTGGACCCGGATGCATCTTGTGTAGTGCGTCTTGCAGCGTCAAATTTCCTGCGAGCGGTGGGAACGCGCTGGAAAGGGACCAGTGCCAGAGAAGTTAGAACAAAGTGCGGCGGAGGACATAGGCGATGAAGTGAGGTACCTTAGATATGCCAGCAGTGAGAAATCGCTCCTGCGAGCACTGAAGGACGAGGAACCTAGCCAATTGTTTGAGTTACAAAATCGGCGATTTGGGCGAGGAGTATTGATCCAGAACGAGCAGGACCCCCGGATATAAGTGGAGATGCAAGATTTCAGGTATATAGATGGTTGAGGTCTGGATTATCGGTCGCACATTTGCGGAGCTCACGGCTTGCCGAAGTGATCTCGTCAGGCCTGCACGAGAAGTGTAGGAAAGAGAGGGCATGCTGCGTGAAAATGCCAACCATGAAAGTTTCAACCTTCTGAGAGATCAGTTTCTGTAGCTTTGTAAACGATGATGCGGTGGAAAGTGATCGTGGACCGTTGGGATCTCCGCCAGAGATCCAGTTAGAGCAATTTTCTGATGTTGAGCGTTTTGGGCTCCTCCGTAATGACGGATGGTATAGCGGGAAGCGAGTCAAATATCTCTTTTCAGCTGCCTTGGGGTTGTCCCTTTCGCAGGTGTTGCCAATATAGACGATAAGCTGTATATTTACTGGGCTTCTGCTTATCAGCCACTCGCACTTCATGCTGCGCATCGCAAATCTTGACTGCAGGGTCGTTATTGTCATTCGGAAAGCTTTACTCCTTCAGCATAGCTTGGTCGAATTTGGTGTGAAGGCCCTGAATCGTGTGATCGTACGCTATCACTTATTCTTATCCAAACCCGCTGGGCTGGCGTCGAGAATCTTCTGTCGGTGATCGCGAGAATTGCTTTTTGTTCGTCCTCCTAACTCCACATTTGATGATCCTTCTGCCACGGAGTAAGCCATTCAGGTGCTGGAAACACAAGAACACCTACCAGCAAGGAAGCCTATCGATACAGACCTGTTAACGCAACTGAGACACGATTGCAGTGGATCAAAGAGAAGACAAAAGTTACTGGAAAGTGCCTGGTACAGGGCGAATATAATTCATGGACCGACTGGTGGTTCTATAAGCTTGTCGTGAACCCAGAGCAATCAAGGAACAAGGCACTGCGTGACCATATGGATATTGCAGCTGAACTCCAAGCGGAATGCAGCATCTTGAGAGTGAGTACAGCCGCCACACCCACAAGGAATCCAAAACGGTATGTGCTTGAATTGGGATTTTGTTCTGCCGGCCAATCGTTCAAAGAATCAGAAGTGTTGCAGAATCAGCAGCTCACAAGTTCAGAGATATTGTGCGCTCAGTGCGAGACGGGAGATATCTTCCTTCGGTTCCCTATGGTCGAGCCTAACACTGATTTTCGTTAAACCAGGCAGGTAACATGATCTTTCTCCAGGTATGGTTGACCGTCGCGGCACATCGAGCATGATGCTAAAAACGTGCATGAGCCCAGTTGGAAAAACATGCATAGACACTACAGGATATCCACAGGATGCGATATTAATATTATTTGAGGGTGCCTCTAGCGATGGTAGGAATTTGAGTGAACCTCAGGCTGCTGGCATTGGGCTGCCAACTTGAAGGATTTCCTGAGAGCTGACTGTGGTTTCTGGGGTCCTACCACTTATACTCGATCAATCAAATATTGACTCTCGAATCTCGAATTTCGCATATCCTTTGATTGCGACTCTCAAAATGGGCCGAACACGCACGAAAGCCAAGGAGTCTGTATCCGCTGTGACGAACTCTTCACAATCTTCGTCGAGCTCAGCAGCTCCAGCCATTTCTGCTCTCCTTGACAAGGCTCAAGAGCTCATCGTACAGTGCGACTTTCCTCTGGCACGCAAATTCATCGATCGTGCTCTTGTCAGGGACGATGGGTCAGTGAGCGAAAAAAATCAAGCGAAGGAGATGATGGGCGTAGTGCTCCTCGAAATCGGGGAAGTGGACGAAGCGAGAGAGGCAAGTAGATGTTATCTCTTGACTTGGGTTATACACCTGATCATTTACTTGCCTTCAGTTGTTCTTATCATTACTCCCGCCACATCCAACGGCTCCTACGCCTCCGCCACCTTCAGCGCATCTTTATCTTGCACAACTCTCTGTGGATCCGTACACTGCTTTGAAACACTATCAGGCAGCCATCGACATCCTTCAGACACAACTCAAAGGTAAGGCACCTTTGCCTGCCCAGGGGGATGGACATGACGAAGGAGAGGATGAGGTGAGAAGCAATATCGTGAGGGCTTACGTTGGAATGGTCGAGGTATGGATGGATCCTGAGTATGATCTATGGTGCGTCCTCAATTTACCAATCGGAAAGCCTTTGTGAAAGATTTGACATGTTCTGAACAAAAGCTTTGATCCTGCTGCATCGTCAACATGCGATTCCCTTCTGGCAAATGCTCTACAGATCGATCCACACAATCTTGAGGCTTTGCAATGTCTTGCTAGCGTCCGCCTCAGTCAAGAAAAAACGGAGGAGGCCCTAGCTGCACTTCTTACTTTCCCACCCTCCTCTCCAGACGCCCCTCCTGCGCGCAATCAAGCATTGGTTGCGGCACTTCCTCTTTCCGTGCGGCTTGCGCGCGCCAAGCTACTCCTGGAGTGTGACGCTTACCATGATGCTCTTGATGTTTTGGAAAATGTTCTTGCGTCAGATGATTCCTCAGTAGAAGGCTGGTACCTTATGGGGTGGGGGTGGTGGCTGGTGGCCGAAAGCCAGAAAGAGGGAGGTGAAGTAGAAGGAAGTGAAGGGCTGACCTGGGAGGATATAGCTAGAGACTCAAGGGACTGCTTAGAAACTTGCCAAATGGTCAGTCAGTCTCATTTATACGCATCTTGCAAGTCCTTCTGTAATGGCCGCGCAACCTCCTTTCATTCATTGCGAGTCAATATCTGAGTACTGACTTTTTTGGATCCAGTTGCACAAGTCACAGTCAGATCCAGACACGCCTATATTAGAACATGTCCAAGAACTTCTTGGAACCCTCGATGCACTAGGCATCACGCCGTCCCCGATCCAAGATGATGAAGAGGGCGACGGGGATGGTTGGGAGGATGCCAGCGATGATGAGGATGTTGAAATGTCATAACACGATGTCACAAATTGTGGCTCGTGTTCTACCTCACAGCTGTTTCATATCAGTTTACCTGGCACAATTATTCCAGTGTCTTTGTCGTGAGGGATATGTCTTATCGACCATTTGCCTGCGGATGGCCTTAACAGTCACTCAGGTAGTCATCACGATCTGTTCAATCCCACTAATGTGCGCCTTGTGAATTCTTTTGACATTCTTTGTGAACAGTTAGCAGTGCCAGTGATTTACGAAGCGTAAGAAATCGAATACACTACTGACATAAAGCGTGCCAACCAATACCACAGATAAATGATCCTTGCTAATGATCCTCCTTGCGGCCAGGTTAGCTGTTGGTGAGTCACAACCATTATCATACACCCGTGCAGCCTTAACACGCTAGCACCAAAGGAGTTTCAAATATCAATCGATGGTCCCAAGTGCTGCGCCTTGAAGACCTAGGGCACATACGATAGTGGCTTGCCCGAATTACAAGTTATTAAACAAACGCTTAAAAGCAGCTAATTTTCGAGCCTCATATTAGTGGCACCACGATCCACCACTCCAAGCTCATCACTCACTTATACATATCCCTCGAATATGACCCTGGTCTCAAATGATCCCAGTTGGTGGCCAGCAGTAGTTCGTTTCGTTTCTTCAGCTATTTGCTAGGTTTGTACAGATCGGTTGGATGATGTCGGTGACGTCCTGATCTAATTCGGACTGTGGTTTCATAGCCTCTGCTGTGGTGATATATGATTATGATGAGCAATGAAGTGAGTATTCGAGAAAATGCTGATGAACTAGATATTACTAGTACTTACGCTCGGGCGAGAGGTAAATTAATTGACATCACTGGAGCAACCATCTCGCTAAGAGTAACTCGATGTTATAGACCGAATTGATCTGGGTGAGCAGAGTCCCCCCATCTGAAGAACAGCAGGTAATTCAGGACAGAGGCAAGACTGGTTACCAATGACCTCAAGTGTGTGTAGCTTGTGTTGTAAGCATGGTTGAGAAGTTGCACTGACGTTCAAATGGCCTACTAGATGCGTCACACTAGGATGCTGTACGTGGTGTACGTATGCAATGCTGACTGGGTGGTGCTGTGCTAATAAGCTGTCTATTGCAATCAGCGTGAATATTCTGAGTATGTCTCACATGCACTGTACTGGTGTCTTCTCACTGGCGGTATACAGTTTCTTCGTCAGTTTCGACTTCAGATGCAGTGAACGTGTTATACTCGTGCCTCCCCTTCCCATCTAATGCTCGCGTGTAGGGGTAAGTGAGCACCCTTAACTAGCACGTTGTTGAACTTAGCTCAACATGATGACTGCAGCAGGTGTGAGTTTTGTTTGATCCTACGAGGTGTCCACTAAATGAGTGTTTCAGGCGGTGCTGTTACATTCTCTGTCACGGTAGACCCTTGGGGTAAATCTGGTCATAGCTGTCATGTTGAACGGTGAGTATGCAGCCGCAACGCCATATTGTCTTGACTGAAACATTATGCAAGTAGTCATCACTGCTCGGTTGCATGCCATGTATCAGGGATGCAGAAAGGTGCTTACCTTTCTCATCGTAATCTTACTGGTTGTCAACAGTGCCGCCGGAGTAAACCGTATAGCAGGCTTATATACTGACGACCCTGGCTTGGACTCCAAGTTCCCTCTTGAACAGCTGAAGGAAGAAGCTGAGGACCTTCTCAAAGAGACCGATATAGTTGTACAGACACGTAGTGATGAGCTGGCTGACCCTGGTTTCATATCATCTTTCATCGTTTACCCAAATGGACTTGCTCACGCGTATGCTCTCTACCTGTCCGCGCTTCCGGTCCTGTGCTGACCATCGTCTTACTTTACAGGATGCTCGGATTCTATCACGTGCAAATGGCCCGATACGCTACTGATCTTCTGGAAACAATGTTGAGTCGTGTGAAAGGGGCAGGGGAGTACACGCATGCATCCAGCAAATACCCCGAGGATGACGAGTTACATGCATGTGGGTGTTCCAGCGCAGGGTACCTAAATTGCACGATGGATTGCATACGAAATGCCGGTGTCCCGATTGAAAACCTCCTGATGGGAGCGACCGTTTTACGGGACTCGGTACCCAAGATGCAGAAAATATGGGCGGTCTCTGAGCTGGCGATGGGTGGCAGAGACCAGAAGATACAAGCGAATCTGGATAGGGCGGATGAACTCATGAGGCGTGTCGCGGACAAGACTTTGACGCTCGAAGATCCTGTACATTTGTGATCGCGATTCATTCTTTCATCACGGGCTTCATGAACACATGTACTTTTAATGTTGCGTGTACTTGTAATCACTGTGGATGCTCTTCCTGCTATTCTTGAAAGAATTCTCGTAAACCCTTGCCAAGGCGTATCATACCCTTTTCGATCATATCCTCAGTACCAGCGAACGCTGCGCGTAGAAACCTGGTGCGCTGTCGCGGAGTCAGACAAAGTACTGCTGAATCCATGACACTCACATCGCTCAACGGCACATGCCCATCACTTTCCACCCACAGAGCATTTTCTGGGATAGCAAACGTAGAAGCTGGCAGGAACACGACGCCTTGGGTATTCATCAACCTCTCAAAAAGCTCCTTTAGGAGGCATTCTGTATTAGTCCGCGCAACAACAGGCGAACCACCAGAACACCGTTCGTGAACGAACCGAGGATGTTTCTCGAAAAATACTTCTATCCACACGAACATCCCTGCTTCAGGGCGCTTTACGCTGGCATAACCGGTGGGTTCTACTTCGCGCTGGAAAACGTCTAGGAGGAGATCAAGGCGGTTCTGGTATTCCAGGCGTAAGCTTCTCAGCCACCGACAGAAGCCCTCGATTTTCCAGCCGTGTTCGCTAAGCATCTCGGTGACGAACATCTGTCCGAAGGCGTGCGGCGGCTGGGTCGATGAATCGGTATATTCTCCCAACTTTAGGTGGAAAAGCTTGTTGCTTGTGATCCAACCCAATCGCATTCCAGGGGCAAGCACTTTGCTGAACCTGTAGACAATGATCAAAAAGGTGACTAAGCTCGGTTACTAGGCGTACTGACGTGTCGAGACGAATCACACGGCCGTCGACATCCATTGACAGGAACGTAGGTATCAAAGTGCTTGTAAAATTCTTGATAAATTCATCAGGATCTGCTGACGCGCAGTTCGTTTGAGGAACATCGTATCGCAGGAAATAGTATGGATCTGCGAGAAGAATGTCAGACGAAGTGCGATGACACCACTGAGTCGACTTACCGTCTTCTGCGATAATTAAGTCCCATGTTTGCGCGATGGCATAGATCTTCTTGCGACGATCCACGCTCAATGTTGATCCAGTCGGATTCTGGCCAACCCTGATTATACATTATGTGGTGTGCATTCAGACTGAAGTTTAGAAGCTTACGGAACGGTATAGAGAAGGCGAGGTCGTCGTCCTAATTTCGCCTCATCCCATCTGATGAGAACTTTTTCTAGCTCCTCAGGAATGATACCACCAGAATCCATCTTAACACCAACCCACTTGACGCCGTATGCGAGAGGACAGTTTGTCATACCTACAGCATAACGAGATTAGCTCAGAACAATGTCAAATAGTCTACTCACTAACCAGGAAAAGAAAACTCGTCAGTCAAAAAATGATCTCCCTTCTGGCCGAAGAGACGAAAGACCTTTGTGAGACCATCAGAGTTCCCGAATGTCAACATGACATGATGATTCGGCGGAGCGAATATCAAATTTGTGAAATCGGTGATTGCATCTTTGCACTGTACAAGTCCAGCAGCGCGGGAATACTGGAAGGCATTACGAATGGGTAGTGCGCACTCTTGATCTCTGTAAGAATGGATCATCTGCGTTCGCCCAGAGTTGTTCCATGAGGTGACTGGATCAGATGGGTCCTGTACAGATGGTAGTCCGTACATGATTTGCTGGAAAGGATAGAGCGAATGATGAGGATCGCCTAGAAGGTATTCGTTTGACTACATTTCACCACTGCATGATAGTGAGATTACCGTTTGCCATAGTGATTAGATCAGTGACTGGGCACTCGCTGATCACTCGCATGATATCTTTTAGTGGGTTGGCAAGTCGATTCCTAGCCTCATCCGATAGGTGATGTGAAAGGTCGATGACACCGTTGTTACTGGTAACATTGTCGTCGATCCGTTGTTCCTCCATCGAATGGAATTGAGATAAGGGAGAGAGAATGATAGTCATTCTGGAGTCGATGGCTTAATACCAGAGGCCGAATTTGAAGAAGTAAATATACTTCTGGTATTAAGGGGGCTAGGTGCGGTCGTGACGCGCCTGTGAGGCGGCACTGAGGCGGCTTCGCAAGTTGCTCCTTCTCTTGTGCAGGCAAATATTGGTCGCTCGTGCATATCAATCTTCTTTGCAACACATATTTCACGGTATCTGTGCTGAGGAAACATCTGCAGCACTATCTCCTTTTTTTGCGACGCTTCTTTTCCGGCTTTTCATCGGGCCATCAGGGATTTTCTCGGAAGCACTGCTTGAACTCGAGGCAGATTTGGCAGCCAGCACACGATCAATTGGCTTCTTTGATGTCTGAGCCATCCGTCCGAGTGCATCCTGCCGTTTCTGGGAGCCACTGCCTGAGTGTTTCGTACCACTAGCCACTCTTGATACTTTTTTCGGAGGTCCTGTACCACTGGCTAAACTGAATAGCATTTGTAGACGGTTCATAGGCTGCGTGAAATGAAATCTATTGATCTGAGGTGATGGCGAGCTCGGTGCTGTGAGTCTTGAGTCTGTAGTTGCATGTGAAGAAGAGTGCACCCAATAAATTTGAGATGCATCCTTGAGTCAGCAATCTGCATTGAGCGCAATGATTGGTAGCCCTTACATGTCACTGCACACTCCGTCTCAAATGCGCCACCCCTCTCTCGACACATGAAATACCACTCACAAGAGTTATTTAATCTCGGCACAGACACAAAGTGTATACCCCGCCGGCGTACCCGAAGTGTTAGTCCTTCTGCAGCCCGAGCAAATTAACGCCGTGGTCCGGATAGATCATCCAACTCACTACGTCCCAAATCTGGCGGTGGTGACCAGATCTCAACAGATGATATTCATATGGGAGGAGGTATTAAGAACTGATAATCTTAGTGAAAATTGGGCTTGTCAGCCAGGAGGAGACAAGAGGGGGTCAGAGTCGGCACACAGGCTCGAAGGGTCCAGAGAGGGAGGAAAAGAAAATAGTCATTGGCATATGTACCTAGTTGTAGATGTCCCTGTGGCACAAAGGAATGGTCGTGAACTCATCCAACTTGATCTGGAAGTCGAATGTAGAACATATAGGAATGGCGCGTCCGCGTCAATGGCCGTCTCAAGGCTCGAGTCAGTGCCGCGTCACGACCGCGTCAAAATAGCTACGCCCGTACTACGGCTGCTAGGTTGGTTGGCCCACGTTTTATTTGCTTGATTCGTATATCCTTGCTATAGCACCGTTGTTTGAGCTTTTGGGGAGTGAAGGCCACCTATAGGTGCCGCCCGAGTCTCAACACTTTGAGTCACAGTGGAGATCACCCTATCATGGGGAGATGTGCGAGGGCAGTGAGGAAGGCTGGACCTCTTGATAAAAACGACTCGCAGTGTCACGGCGTGTGGAACAATGACATTCCTTTGAATCTTAGTTACTTGCAAAGTTAACACTAGCATTTAGGTCAAGCAAAGTTCCTGCTGACTTGGCAGGTGGAATGCGCGCTGGGTATCTGTACTACTACAAATCATTGCTCACAGCAAAACAAAGAGGCGCGCTAAGACTCGCGACACTAACAACGGCAAAATGAAACAAGATAAAACAATGCTGTTCACAGTAAATCACTTTCGTCCATATTCAAGATGAACTTGGTGTAGAAACGAACGCCTTCATTCAAGCTGTCTGCACGGAAAGCTGGGATGGGGAACTGCATGAGCGAGGAAAGTAACGTAAAACTATCTAACACTCGCCTTCATTGACAGTGTGTGCTCCATTGAAACTATCAGTGTCAAACGACGGCGAGAAGCGGAAAATATGCTTGGTTAAATTCCAGTAGAATCGCGTGTCTGAGACTACATGAAGGGATAATTCGTTGTGAGTAGATCGCAGCTGCTTACCAGTGTTGCCTGGTTGACACCATTCGTTAAAATCGTGCAGTACAAACCAGATAAAAAACGTACCAATAGATAGGGAGGGTATAACTACGACCTTGCTGCTGTTGCGAGTAGGGGAGCTCTCAAAAGCAGCCTTAATGCTTCCTTGCAAGAGTGCCCAAGGGCCATACTCGGTAGGTGTCACGGGCGAAGGCTCCAAGGCCGTCCCGAGGAAGTCGGACAGAACGACTCGACCAGCACTACCATAAGTCACGTTGCTGCCGAACGCGACGAGTGCGAGGTCGTACTTGGCTGCCAACGGGGTCAAAAGGTCGATCATGTGCTGTTGCAGCTCGCCAACAGAACTAAAAGTAAGAAGTGAACAAAATCCTGAAAATCCTACAAAAGAGGCAAAACCTATGCTCTGCGATGCGGTGATTGATCACTGCGCTAGCACGCTCTGGAAGAGCATTGACTTTCACGCCACCTTCGACGAGGTCTACTGCTTGTGTAGTCCCGAGCATTGCTTTGTACAAGGGATCCGAAGCCAGAAGTCGCTCTTGAAGCACCTTCAGAGCCGCATCATTTGTGACCGCTTGTCTTGCGAGCCTTCGCAAGTCGTCAGGGTACAGTGGACTATAGGCCGCAAGGCATTGCGTCGTCGCAAACGGGGTTCCTGTTCGAGAAAGGCTGGCTTGGTGCGGGTTATCTTCCACTGCTGCTATGAAACGGGAGAGGAGACCGATGCTCTGTACAGTACAGCCGATCAATTATCAGTCAGAAAGTGTAGCGATCAACACGCACCGTATGAGAAGGTGGTACGCTCGAATGACCACCCAGAGTTGAAAGCGTAATCTCGACATCAAGATATCCCTTCTCAGATGTTGAGGGAGCCGCGAAAACAATGCCACCCATATCTGTGTAGTGACCTAACGCAGATTTAAATCGTGCCATTTGCAGCAGTTAGTCCACGTACCTCCTTCGTCAAGAAGCAAGGCAAAAGAATCGCGCCCATACGTTTCTTCCAAGTATCGAGCAAGATGACCAGCACCCTGAAGCGAGCTATCAATAATGGAGCTTGGATGTAGCGGTTTTACTGACCTCTATGCCTTTGGACTCTTCATCGAATCCGTACGAGAGTATAAGGGTGCGTGCAGGAGAGAAATCTTGCTTTAGCAGGGAATCGATAGCGAGCAATTGTTGTATCAAGTCGCTTTTGTCATCGCAAGTACCACGACCCCATATCCACGTGCCTGTGATAATACAGGTATAAGTAGCACCTTGCGGGGTTGAAAGTTTGCGTACCGTCATAGTACCCTGAATACGGATCGTGTTTCCAGTCTTTGACTGTCTGACCTTCAACTGGTACAACATCTGAGACGACGTCAACTGAGATTCCGTAGAATGTTCAAACGAGAATAACCTTGGTGAGCGGCCAAGATGTAAGGTTTTGCCGTACTTGATCCTTGCCAGTGAAAAACCAGACCATATGTGTTGACTTTGGTGACATTGAGGGACTTGTAACTAGAAACAAAACATGAACTATGAAACGACAGCTCAGACGTGAAGACCCCAACGTACACGCGAGGAAATGAGGCCTCAAGAACTCGGTGGAGTTCTGCGAATGTATCCCATCGACTGTCTTCACCGACTGGTCCATTATCGTCGTACGATTCGGTCCTAAGAGCGCGTCCATGTTTCCACAGTGATATGCGACAATAAGACTTACGGTACACGGACTGCCTCTCCAAGGACCTGAATGGCTCTTTGCTTAAAGTCTTCTGAGCTGTATGCCACATCCAAGTCTTCGCTCAGCCCACGATGCTTGGTTGGATGTAAAGCCGTCCACTGAGGGCATCTGGTAGAATTAACGCCTGGAGACAGGGACCCAGCAAGCCCGTTACAAGGACCTGCAAGCCACAAACGAGAAAGACGGCAGATTGGCCGCGGCAAGAAAGCGAAGTCGCAGAACTTATAGAGCACTAGTGAAATGATTACCAGACTGCACAACAGCACTCGAAATGCAAACAGTAACCTAGACCAGCGGCTTTCATGCTGCTTACTCGATGTTCTGCCAGTAGGACGACATAAATCCGATTGTGCGGGAGCCATATGAGAATATGACTCGGAATGACTCTTCCGAATTCGAAGGAAAGTTGTTGAAGGGGTGAGAAACGACTTTGGTTTGCTCCATTTCGACATATTGAGGCTCTATTTTTTGTACCTGACTGTTCGCCTTCACACAATTTATATGTAAGAGTTGCTATCACAGACCACGGTTACGCCCCCGGGTCCCATCGTGGCCAAGAGGCCGAAAGATATATACTGGCATGTTGGTGTTTTTTGACCAGTATTACTACTTTGTACCCATTGTTGGTGACGATATATTCGATATGTGGCCGCGGAAGGGCTCCTGAAGGATATTCTGTAGGGTTGTTATCAATCAATATCTTACGGCAGGTGTATCATACTGCCCAGCTGCCCCACAATCTGTCTGCTCAAGAAATATATATATTCAGTAAACAAGAAAACTGGTATATCACCTCTGAAAATGGGGGGTATATGTACCGTGTAAAACTAGATGTGCGTGAGGGTATATGAGTAAAAGGTATCACAGTCTGTCAAACACAGAAGTAGTGGTGGAATACTTTTCGTCAGAAAGTTCGTCATCAATCAAACCACCCCACGTCTCTCATCTCCACAGCCAAGTTTCCCCACTCGCATCCGCCAGCCTTGCGCCCCGCACACTCCGTTGCAAATCGCAGGCACTCGTCAAGCCTCCACCGCGCAGTGACGTCTAATTCCTTCTCCTCCGCTTGCACGGGGGTATATGGCGCCCCCGGAAGAGTGCGCCTGCTGAGGGACCAGATCATCCCCGCGATGAACGCGGAATGCGCGCCCTCTTCATCTTGAAGGTCCTCCGAAGGCGGCGGCGGAGGCTGCACGGGTATAGAGCTCTGTACGTGCTGGGGAGGACGTGCATGTGCGTGGTCGTGGCCATGACCGTTAGTGCGAAGATGAGGGTTGGGAGGTGAGTGGGGCAAGGATGTCCCGCGGGTGGTATGCGTAGACCTTGCATCATCTTCGTCGTCGTCGTCATCAAGTGGGTGGAAGGATTCTCCCGCCGATGACGTGCGCCTTCTTGGCTCGTCGTCGTGGTCTTCTGAGTATCCGCTGTCACGATTTCGGGCAGGTGAGGGGTTATCACCCATGGTGAACCCGCTTGAGTCGGGGCTGCGGCGGCCAGCCCAAAATTCTGAGCCGCTGCGCACGCTCTCGACACCCTCAGCGGTGGAGATGATGGAGTGTAAGTTGGAGTTGGTGTGTGCATGGGATCTGCCCATCGGGAGTGGAGACCAGGAAGAGGATTGGAGGTATTCACGAGTGGGAAGGGAGAGGAGGGCTGAACCAAGGGCACCTCCGTATAATACAAGGAGCGCGTGTGGAGATGCGTGTCGTGCGAGCGCAAGGAGGATAGCGCGCGGAGAAGGTGGGCCAGGGTTGACAGCGTTAAACTGGGGATTAGAGAGCGAGGGAAATGTTTGCGCTGAAAGGAAGATGACGTCTGCGTGGGGGATGAGCTGGTTGCATAAAAATGATCAAATAAAGTACGTTTCAAAAAAAGTACAAGGACATACAGCTTCGACACCTTCTCGTGCCCTTCGGCCGAGATCCACGCTGAGAACACAATGTGCTCGCCACTTTCGCTCACGTGCAAGACCGTCTACTCCAAGAATGTTGGAGAGCGTGGTTTTGATACTCCGTCCTTCAAAATGCATCCAGTCAAAAGGCGCTGGCGAGAGTGAACTTTGAGTGGGTACGATCGCCATATGTGGAGCGGTGCTCCCTGCGGGGGCTGTTGCAGGTCTGGAAGACAAACTATTTCTCGGTGGTGGAGTAGAAACAAATGCATTTGGGAAGACGGCAGCGGGCGAAGGTGGTTGAGGTAGTTGTGGATGGGAAATGCCAACGTAGTTCTCCGGTGCAAGAACAGGGCCCAACAAGGCAATGAAGTCTTCATGGGACACCTCTGGAAGTGGATTGTGATTTATAACAGTTCTTTCACCAGTATCACGGGCATGCATTACCCATGCAGATGGAACACCGAGGCCAGGCCAGGGTTTACAGTATTTTGTGCGCACTCCACCTGTCTCTAGCTCATCTCGCAGTCGAATTCCGTCGGGCGACGCGCCCAAACTCGCGATGAGCATGGGTTCCACAGCAGCAGGAAGCGCTGCCAAAAAACCAAGTATATGTCCAGCGCTACCGCCACGTGCGATGGTGACTGCTTGTGCCCGAGACGCAGTACCCGGAACTGGATGCGAGCAAAGATCCAGCGAATACGTCAAGAATATCGTCCCTGTCGAAAAAATACGAAATGGTTTGGAGATCGATGGACTTGGCATAGGCGGGTTGACGTAGGTGGACGTTGGGGAGTGGGTTGTACTGGATGTTGAAAGCGTGTCACGTCGCAGGCGAGCCATCCTGTTTGTTAATTACTACGCGGCGTTTAGTGTTGAGTCTAACTGAAAGTGGGAGGACGTACGTCGCCCACGTCGGGGTCGACTGAAAAGAAGCCATTAAAGTTCACCTTGTCGTAACTCACGTTCTGATTCGGACTCGAGAGACCATGGTCAGGTCCATGGTGGTCTACTGCTCGTCAACGTGAGTCGTGATGCTGGCATGCTCTTTCTCAGAAATAAATAAATCTCAATCTCAACTCCACGAGAATATGGCCCATACTAGTATTCCTGGCTATTACCTATCGATTTATCAACGCCAGTAGTTCCTGGAAGCGCACCATTAAACATCTGTTAATCCTGGTGCAAGGAGCGAGCTCCCGACTCGGAGTTCTGGTAGTGGGATACATATGTAAATGGTACAGCGCATGTTTGCGAGGTCGCTACGCCACGAAGGTCAGTCAGTTCCAGCTGAAGCAGTGACAGACTTCGGACATTATTCAAGGTAATTTTTTGATTCTTTAATACCGAACAGTGACTTGAGTCAATGAGTACAAACGGATAATCGGGGCGCCGTCCTATAGGAGGAGCAGTGACCAGTCACATGCACATGCGCTTAAGCACCCATGCGCAATGATAAGTACTTAAGAATAGTATCAAGATGCTACGCCCTTCCTACCATTCCGCCATTCTTCTCAAGTGTTTGAGCTCATTCGCATCCCACTGTTCGTCGACAAATCCAAGTGACTTCTCCTAACATGTCGAAGGTGCCTTACAGTAAGTCTGCCAGTTACAATTGTAGGAAGGTACTCACTCTGTCCATATTCTCAGCGAGGCTGGGGAATTCTGGCCTGAAAGTGTCCAAAATCATACTTGGGACCATGCAGTACGGCAACAAAGGATGGCAAGATTGGGTCCTCGGAGAGGATGAAGCACTCGAACACATCAAGGTTGCGTAAGTTCTCAGTCTCGGTACCACGTACACAGTTCCCCTGATCACTAGGCCCAGTTACGAAGCAGGAATTCAAACTTTTGATACTGCCGATGTGAGTCGTTACTATTAGAACTCGTCAGATCACAATATCCTACATTTCTCAGACATATTCGAACGGTTACTCGGAAGTGATCCTTGGACGGGTGATCAAGAAATTGAATTTACCCCGCGACGAAATCGTCGTCATGACCAAAGTAGCACATGTCTTTAGTATTCTGCCGCTCTCTCATCACATTGGCCTTGAACAGGTATTCAACGTGGTCGGACGTGAATACAATACCCACCAGCTTGGCGGGCGCAAAGACCCAGATCAAAATGGTTATGTAAACCAGCATGGCCTCAGCCGGAAGGCATGTTTTCAATCGATTATGAGGTCAATTGACTTTCTGAACTTGCGAAACAGCACATCTTCGCAAGCGTGAAAAAGAGTTTGGAGCGGCTTCAAATGGATTATATCGACGTTCTACAATGCATGTCTAATCATCAATATGCTCAACTCTTTCTTAGAATGCTTATCTACTTATAGGCCACAGATTCGACAATGAAACACCGATGGAAGAGACGGTAATGCATATTCTATACTGGCTTTCGCGCGCTAATGTTTGAGAAGATGCAAGCATTGCACGACGTAGTCCAAGCTGGCTATGTCCGCTACATCGGAATGAGTTCTTGCTGGGCGTACCAGTGTGAGTGCACCTCATTCATTTGCAGAGTCAGTCTAATGTTCGCTTGCTGTTTAGTCCAAGCTATGCAGAGTGAGATCTCAATTGGGGGTACATACTACCGTCACCTGACCTCAAATCAACGCAGACTATGCGATCACAAACAAGCTCACTCCCTTCATCTCCATGCAGAATCACTATAGCCTACTCTATCGCGAGGAGGAGCGCGAGATGTTCCCTACTCTCAAGGTTCTTTCATAGTGTTGATGGTATCAGCGTTGTGACTCACAATGATATTGAGATGTTTGGTGTTGGCTCAATTCCATGGTCTCCACTGGCTCGTGGTGCCCTCACACGCCCTCTTGGGCAGCAGACAAGCAGAGGTCAAGCTGATTGGCAAGTATTTCAATGTCTTGATGTGGTGACCGTCTCATGGCTTTTTACAGGTTCATTGGGAATTATGCCCAAGCATCGTCATACGAAACTATTATTAACCGGTATGCTGGTTCTCTACTAAGAAAAACAGTTATTCACAGGTTGATCAGGGTCGAGGAACTTGCTAGAAAGAAAGGTGTGACCATGGCTCAAATAGCCATAGCATGGATCTTGACAAAGGAAGGTGAGTTATTTTGACGCCCATGTGGGTACTCGATCAATGAAATCGATTCCCTAGGGGTATCGGCTCCTATTGTCGGAACCACGAGTATCGCAAATCTTAAAGATATCATTGGTAAGTGGCGATGCCCGCATGAACTTCCTGCACCATTGACTTGGAACCCATAGCTGGAATAGATGTGAAACTTACGGTGGAGGAAATAAAGTTCCTCGAGGAAGAGTACAAACCAACTGCTGTGATTGGTCACTTCTGAGCGGTTCAACAATGTACGGCTCTCAGATACATATTAATTCCGATTCGCTGCTTTCTCGATGGACACACTTGAATAATACTCACGGGCAGCGAATGACAACCTGAAGCACAAGACAAAGAACCTGTAATGCTTCGGATCCTGCTATACTCCAAAGTTGTATCATTGCTCGGCACTCAGCTGCTGAAACTACGCGCCAAGCGTTTCAACACTCAGATCCCAGATTAGCTATCCATCACCTGTACCCTACCCACAAGGATAACAGTGAATTTTGTATGCCTGCCATGAATTTTTTATTCCTCAATCTGCCGATTGGCACATCTGTGCATCGGCACCAGAGACATACATAAATGAATACGAATCTTCCTATCTCGTGACCCCCGAGCTGATTTCGTTTGACAGGAACCGCACAACTTCAATTTCATCAAGCATGCAAGCGACGGTGGACTGTCGGTACGCCGGCGTAAGTGCCGGTCAAATGATGGAAGCTGTGGCAACCCTAGGGAGACGATTGTGCTCCCAACCTCCTTGCCGACCCGCTTTTGAATGATTCAGGTGCCCTGCAGGAACAATCGGAACTCCAAGCCAACGGCAGCCCGCTACTGCAAGTCGTCGTGCCAGCCTGTAAAGAGCCATGGAAGAGGCATCCTTCATGTGTTGGCATGATATCCTGAGCGTGTAGTACGCCGGAGTTCCGTCACTACCGATGATTTCGCAAGGTCAGATTTCAGAGGTGAGAACGAGTCGGTCAGCAGACTCAGCACGTCCTGATTCTCCGTATATCATAGTAACCACTGAATTACATTTGAGGAGAACACTTCGAGCAACGAAAGACTGCAGCTGTTACTGATGAACGTTCAAAGCGGATACTGCTTACAACGATTAGTCTCGCTTGAAGGCAATCGCCACAGTCATGTTGTGCAAGAGAAGAATACAGGTAACAATTAAACAAAGTTAATGATCGGAAATTTCTGGTCACGTGTACAAGAGCAACTGAACTGAGTGAACACGTGTATGCTTCTGAACAGGCGCGTAGTACGAAAATCCAATCGCCAATAGCAAGTTCGACAATGCGTACGAAAAGAGAGTTTGAAGGTGACGATGCAGGGGTAAGTACCTGATCCGCCCAAATACAATATATAGTCTCATATACCAGAAATTGCCTAGGACCCACTCCAAGTTGAAGGAGGAGATTGGGAAGATATTCCGGACAAGGACACTAGCCCAAAGCGGTTCGACAATTTTGACTCTTCCAATACAACAAACACTTCTACAGATGCCTCGAAGCCGAGGCGTCGTGCGGGCTCGAAACCCGTCTTTGCCGCCGAAACCCCTCGGCGTAATCGCGCAGCACCTACACGGTTAAAGCGCAAGAGAAGCCCCAGCGTGGACAAAGAATACATCGCGGACAAAGAGAACATTGTTGATAAAGAGCTTATCAAGGAAGCATTGTCTACTAGTGCCCACCACTCAAGCATTTATATTCTCGACGTTGTCCTTCGAGCAGTGCGACTTATGCGCATACCATTATCAATCATGCTCTTCCTTTGGATGCTGGCATTCGCGACGATACGCCTTTCGGGTGCGCTGCGCACAGCGTTTTCCCCGATGTGTTACCTTCCCATGGTATCGAGGTCGGCGCTGTGTGCTCCGCTGGACCCCAATGCGTCGCAAATTCCAAAATGGGCGGATTTTCCGCAACTTATGGAAGCCCAGGGCTCTACTTTTGAGCAGCTTTTAGCGGGGTCGGTCGGAGGTTCTGGACTTTCGATTGAAATTCGGAAGGCTGAATTTGCCACCGCGGATCTTACAACGCTTGTACGACATAGCGACCTCAAGTCTAGCGACATCCTAGCCGATCAGTTGGCAACTTTCGTGAAAGATGCTAAGAAGACCGCTAGGAGTCTCACAAAGCTTAGTTCTAAAATTGGTGGCGCCGTGGACAAGTAAGTAGTCGTTCGTTTAGCGTGGAAATATTGTATGCTCATTTCAAAAGCGTCATGGCAGTGAACGGGTATGCAATGCGTACCATACAAGAGGCAGAGAAGAACGAACCGGCACCGTATTCTCTTACGGCTTTGATTCCATTCCATTTTGGACCCACAACACAGGAGGTGATAGTCGATGCATTCACGAGTGCGATGGACATCTTCTCCATAGCAATCCAGCGACTTATTCTGGAAGCGGAGATATCCCTGCACAACTTGGAGGTACTCGACGAAGATCTTTCCGTTGTACGCGAAGTTGTGATGCGTGAGGACATTGATGTCACAACTGAGCAATCCGAGCTTTTGGGAGCGCTGTGGACGAAGCTGGGTGGGAACAGACGCGCACTACGGGATAACGACAGACGTCTTGGTTTACTTAAAGACCTTGGTGACTATCGGAGACAAGCACAGGCACATGTTGTTGCCGCACTCCAGACCCTCAACTCGATGAGCGAGGACATGGAGGATTTACGAGAGAGGGTAGCGGCCCCTGAATTGGTTGGTGGGCGTATCCCACTTCACGTGCATATTGAGAGCATCCAGAACGGACTTGAAAGGCTGCAGGAGGGCCGTGTGAGAGCCAAAGAGAGGGAAGAAGAGGTGATGAGAAAATTGGAATTCGGCACCGATTGAGTTGAAGAATGTACCGTATATAGTGGAGCTTGCTTGAATTATGTATGCTTAGGTTGATATATTCCCGGTGATTTACACGGGCGGGACATGAGTTTACCAACCTGGCACTAAAATGTGAGACTTGGCAGGACATCTTGATCAGACTCGAGGCACACGTGGAGCTTGTTATCATGTGTTTCTGGGAGATAACATATAGATAGCGTGTCTGGAGTGCATGTCGTGGGCAAAGGCACGGTGAAAACCCAAATGACGGTGAATCCCGACTCATGGGATTTGAACATGACCCCCCTCCCTATAGGAGGAGGAGCATTGCGGTTCTCAGTGAACTCACGAACACCCACGCACATGAAGGATAACGTTATCAGCTTGAAGTGGCAAAACAGGTAAGAGCTGCACGCCGAGACCCGTTCCGGCAATGATGCGTGTGGCTTACCTTTGTGCTGGTCCAACCGGGACCAGCACCGTTTGGACAGGGCCCTGCGCAAAGTGAAAATATAGTTGTGGATGAAAGCCAGTGGGCCAGCAGCATGAAGGTCCAGTGTGGACGGATTCAAGCATTTGTGGCTCCGAATCTTGATGTGGTAATTGGGATCTTATTGTGGTTATGTAAATTATTCTGGATATAACGGGTAAGTCGGATAAACACAATTGTTAGTCCACTACAGTACAGATCGCATGGCCCGGACGGTCATTGAAAGTATTATTATTATGACAACGAGAAGCTTGGCGTCCCACTTCCCTTCCTCCACTACCTCATCCTTTAAAAGCTATACTTGTGTAGCTTTCTTCCGAAAGGCGCTCACAATAAGTCACTGACAGCAGACACTCATACCACACGGTGTATAGCCACACGTCAAGGTGCATATCCTCATCCAAGCGACTAGGCACATGTAGCTGACATATATTTCTGACAGAGCACCCCAGATATTTTCACCAACGATTGAGCCCGAGAGCCTACACTTCGAGCTTGCTTTCAAGCCACCTACTACATCATTCAGTGACAGTACCTACTATTGTACGTGCAGTCATTAACAACCCTATAACCCCTGCAGTAGTACGAATTGCTTATCACGTTTTGGTCATTCTCTAGACACCTTGCCTCGAGGCTACCCTTTATTTTTTTTTACCACGAAGTTTTCATGGCTTTTGTCACGGTGCGTATACCCCCATTCATCACTCACTTGCCGTCTCTGAATTAACATAAACCTGCAGGGTGGTGCTTCAGCCTACGATCAAGGACCTGTATCTCCCGACGTAAGTCGAAGCTCCCAGTTTGCGAACCTCCATACTCACGTAGTTACAGTCGTGGAAGCGTGCCGTGTACCGCAGTGCTCCTCAGTATTTCTACGTCGCAGTCCTCACTCCAGAAAAGCAAGGTAAGCTTATTCAATTCTTGTTGGATCGTATTCATGTTGGTTTCAGGCGGTAGTTATAGCTATGGCCTCCGGATTTGTCCCATTAAGAACGACAACGCATCCATTTCCGCTCATTCAACTTCCTCGAAGGGGTCACATTTGGAGTATGACATCTGGCGAAAATGGGAGGACTGTCTCTGGTTTCAAGACAGCCTTGAGGCCGAATACGCTCTCATGGCAAGACAGAAAATAACACGTCTAGCTGCAGGCAAAGGAGTGAAAAAGGGCGGGATGTATATCCAGAGCGACCAGGCAGCTTCTTTTGATTCACTTCCCCCGGGTCCCGATCCTCACTCCGTCGCCCGTGATATCCACCGGTACATCCCGAAACTGACGAAGAAGGGAACACTATTCCGCGCGAGCCAAGCTACCGTTGACCAACGGTTCGTTGAGTTTCGTGACATGATAAATGCGTGTTTTCAAGAAGACCTCCCGATGCTCTTGAAAGAGTTGATGGCCACGCGAACCTTCACTGATTTCTTCGGCTATTGGAGACGTGATCACGACCTCGCTATCAAAACACAGAAAAATCAGACCTCTCCCGCTAAAGCTCGCCGCTCTGTGTCTAGTAGCATGCTCTCTGCATATTTTTCTCCTTCGAATCCAGCAACATCAGACGATGTACCCTCTTCCACGTCTGTGACCGAGTCACCCAAGAAGTTGCCCAGACGAGGTTCAGGCACTTCAGACTCATTGTCATCAGGAATTTCCCTCAAAGACCAGCCAACTACCCGCTCACGCGCGAATACTCACTCTGCCGGCTTGACAATATCCCTGCCGTCACGTGGCTCAAAATCCACCCTATCTTCTTCTTCCTCGGGTTCTCCATCTCCCGTCACGCCGCGTCGCTCTTCTAATCGTTTGCCAATGGTTGTTACCCATGAAGCTCCAATCACGTTTGGACATAACCCACACACACCTGCCGGATACGCGTCGGAGCGTCGAGCATCGGTACTCCAAGTCCTCCCAGAGGACCAGGAGGTCGAGATTGACAAGGCTGTATCTGCGAATTTCGCGCAGACGCGAAGGGTAAATAGGACCGCTAGGGTCCTTGGCCCCCCTGCTTCCGAATTATATGATGATACTGAACTTTCTTCGGATGGTGCGTCCAAAAATCTTTCATATTTGGTCTGCATTACTGATCTCAAAGCAGCAGAGTCCTATGCTAGGTGCTCCTGGCGGTCAACCAACTCTGTTTCGTCCTCTCGTGCTGCAGCCTACCTTGCTGAGCTCGACGTTGATTTCACGCTTCCACACCCTCACCCGGAACGTGCGCACCGCCCCCGTGCCTCGATGTGTAGTGTAGCCTCATACAGGACTGATGCCTCCGCCGATGCGATCATTTCTCGATCTGCTTACACTCAGTCTTCGCCTTCTACTGGGACTCGACAATACCGTCATTCCGTGCCTTTCCCAGATGAAGAAGAGTGGGCGGAACGCGAACCATGGGCTGATGAATCGGCTTACGGAGAGGATGACCTCCTTGACGCCTATTTCTATGGTACGTCTGATATACATACATGTTCGACCGGTGTGCTAACTATCCCTGTTACAGACGCGATACCACCCACATCACCTAGCGAAGATAGCCACTTCTCTTCACAGCAGCGTGACTCGTACCCAACATCACCGTACCCTGCGCGACGTACATCCGTAACCACATCTATATCCAGCGGATCGACGGGATGCAGTGACGGTTCAGCCATTGCCATCAAAGCATTGTATGAGAACCACATCATCATGCTTCGCGTTTCGCGGTCCCTGTCGTTCACTGAGGTTCGTCAACGACTTTACGACAAATTTGTACGACAGGAAGGCGTGCCACTTTCAGAGAGCTTTGTCGTGGCCATCCTCGTTCCACCTCCAGTCAAAGAGAAATCTGGAGGCCGTCCTTACGCTGCTTCGTTCTCCTCTATGGCAGACAAGGATAATGTTGTTCTGCACTTCGTAAAGTCCAACGATGACTGGGACCAGGCGATATACAAGTATGGAAACAAAGTCCTTCTGCGTGTTATCGGCAGCCGTGCCTAGGCTGCTCCATGTGTGTAATGTATTGCCACGCAGGCTTTAATGTTGTTATATTGGCATTTTCGATCTTCGCATTTTTGTAGAAATCATTGGTTTTGACTTCGTTCTTGCATTCAACATTTTTTTTCGTTCCCAACATTCAACATTTTCTTTCTTTCCGGCACATGAATTATTTCCATTCAATTGCGATACCTTTTGTCCTCAATATTCCATCTTCGTTCTACATTGCATTCATTGGATTTCCTTGTTACTCTTCGTTTCTGGGTTTGGCCGCGTTTGTACTGTCGTAGGATTGTACTCGCGAGCTCATGTACGGATCAAAGTTGTAGAATGTATCCTTTTATCGCATATCACAATTATCTACTTCACACCACAAGCTGCTGTATATTATGACGAGCTTTACCGCAATGAGCAATTATACAATATTACAATCAAGCACCGACGGCTTGCGGGGACGGCAGAGGCTTCAGTGCTACAGCAGGAGGTGCGCCTGCGGGCAGCAGTCCTCTAGTCCAATCTGGTATGACATTTCTTGGAATGCGTTCGGATGCAGGAACAACCATAATGACATCGTCATCCTGATCGGTTTGCGATGGATCTGATTCGTCCCATTTCTCCCGTGCGACTTCGACGCCACCAGTCTTTAGTGCTCTAGAACACCATCAACATACAATAAGACGACATGAGGGAATGTTGGTAGAACTTACCCCGCTAAGGAGCCACCTACCCACGCCATCGTAGCAGGTGTGAAAGCTGGTGCCTTCCCTGCGTTCACATTGGCACGTGCACTCGATGAGGGTACCGGAGTAGGGTTGTTGAGAATAGCAAAGTGCGGTACCAGCGGGCGCAATGAGGCATATCGATCATATGTAGGTCTAGACCGTGTGGATAAGATATTTAGCGGAGCAGTAGCGCGCAGCAGTTCCGTGTGTAAACGAGGGATGAAGCCTGGAAGCATGGCTGTGCCCCCTGTGATTAGAATAGAGGATGCCATAGTTTTACGAAGATCAAGTGGGACCTTCAAACACGGTCAATGGTATAATCATAGCAAGGGGGAATTAGATAACAAACCTTGAGTAAAGCATCCAAGATTACTTCTGCGACACTACTTTCGTCGACATCACCTCCTTCAAATAGCACCTCGGCAGCGCGTTCGCGGACCCAGCCAGGGATGATGAGGGTTCCACGCCCGGTACCCGTTTGCTGAGATACAGGGGGGACGACACGCATGTGAAGATTTGTGGCAGTGGAGTGACGCATGTACATATTCGCAAGGACCTGTATATGCTTTTCATTGCTTGCTTCCCCACTGGAGGTAGAGTGTGTCAGATGGGAGATTATCGAGAACTCGGACTCTGCTGCGCTCTCTTGACCAAGGGAACCCCGTGAAAACTCTGACTCAGACATGGCAGGGTCGCTTGAGGGTGGGGGCTCATGGTCTGAAGGATCGTCACCTGCCGGGGAGGATGCGCGGACATCGCCGAGAGAAGATTCTAAAGCATCTGATACGAAGCAACAGCGTGTCTTGATGTCCTCGATGACAGCATCTGTTAGTATCTCTTGTGGCACACGGGTGGTGCGATTGGCTGCGGGCACGTTGACAGCCGCACTGAGTGTAGTTGGTGGAGGGAGGTAAGAGCCAAATAAGAGAAGCAGTGCACGGATATGTGACGAAAAGCGAGAGCCTGCGAGTGGTGTTGTTCGGAGTTGAGGAAAGAGAGGACGTGCTGCGAATATCTACGAGGGCATGTTAACACCAAAAAGCAACAGGCGCATCCATCTTACAGGTAATGCGGTAGATTCTAAATGGCCACAATCCAGGACGAGACCTGTTATTCGGCCAACAGATAATAGAGACAACAGATGACTTGATGCAAACGATATTGAGGGAACCTGTTATCTTCTGTCTACAGATTGTCATCCCGCGAAAGCTGGGCACATACCTGGAGGTTACTAAAGAGGATATGAGCCAACATATCCTTGATGTACAGCGGCATTAACGGGTGCTCGACCAATATTACCTTTCTGGCCTTGGGTTCTGCAAGAAGTGACCTTCACGATCTATTGGATGCAAGTGTCTGTGATAGTTGAGCCTACTTACTCGTGAAAAACAGAACGCATACATCTCTCCAAGTTGATTTCTAACATGTTGTCCTGCTCTGCCTTTTCTGTTGGATCTGTGGCTCGATTCCAACTCCATAACGAGCCATAATTTTTGGCGTCGGCGTAGAACACGTCTCTTGGCTTGCCTTCGCCACTAAATCCAACTTTCCAGATGCGTGAACCTGGATCGATTACGACACGGTCCTCTGTGCCATAGAGAGAGTGACGTCTGGTTGTCGTGTAATGAGGAGATGCTTGAAGAACATGGGATCCTGCTACTCGAGTTGTCGTTGGCGTTGCAGGGGTGATGCCCGTCTTTGTTCTTGGTGTACTTGAGACTGTCGACATTAATATTCAGCCCAGTGTACGGTAGCTAGCTGCATACAAAGCGAAATTCGAAGTAATTAAACAAGCTTGAAACAAGCACTTACTTAGGACTTTTCGTGCACGTGATCAATTGTGTCGCGTCTACGCGATTTGTTATGTAATTGTGAACACGGTTTCCGAGTCAACGTTCAGAACGTTCAACGGTAAGAGGTCACTCGATACCAAGTAGCCTTTCTTTCGATTTTACGATACAACATTTCACTGAGTTAAACATAAATCGTCGGGTGAGCGTTTCAGAAGACTTTCAAAAAAGCCAGCATACGGGCCGAGCATCAAGGAAAGTACTATGGAGTCTCTGAGAATAAACATTCTTACGGAGCTAACAAAACAATCAAGGGTATCACATAGACTGTTTTTGGCGTCTTTTTGTTTTCTTGAACATTCCTTCAGAAACATGATCTAGTCTCGCCCAAGGGTCGTTCCACTCACGACAACAGTCGGAGTCACAGTCCCACGTACTAAATATTGCCCCTGGGTATTGATCTGAGCCGTTCTCCGGGTCCACGGGATCGAATTCTTGGCCATCCCAGTCAGGGAAATAGCCCTCTAGTTTATCTTTTGAGTCCGCTTTTTATTAGACGATTATGACGGCGAGACCAATTTTACTAACCTGTATTGAGTGATGATCACGATCGTCTTCATAAGTGGCCGCCATCTTCATCCGACACGTCGAATTCCTGCCCCGGATCATACTGCCAACCGTCCCGGACTAGTCTTCCTCTTTTTCTCGTTGATCACCATGTCCCCCTTCACCAGTGAACTTCTAAACGCCGGTACTAGCATAACTTGGCCAGCCTTTTTAGTAAAGTTTTTACTGCAGGCTTGTGAGGGTGTGCTTTGGTCATGCCGGCGACCACCTTTTGAAGAGGCTCTTCGGGGGACGGTCGACTTATGGCCATGAGCCTCTTGAGCGTTTGAAGTAGCTTTTGAGCGGTTGAATTAGGTTGCGCTTGAACTAATGTGTCACAGGTCGTCGTCACCCGGGGTGGTCATCCGATGTCACACTGTCATTACAATTGACGAATGCAGCCCTTACATTGCAATTTGGTTTTCCTCGCAGTCTGACTCTACTACTAGAGTTGTCGTCCTTATAATCACTACTCAACCTCTTACTCGATGTCTTTTCTTGAACTTTCCTCCAGTAACGTACTGTCCCCTTTCACATCCTTCAGACAGCGCGTTCTCATTACAACAGTCCCAGATAAATGCCTGCTCTGTTTTCCTCTGTATCCATGGGACCATGGCAATCTTCATCATGGTCTGGGAAATAGTCCTCATCGACATCTAGATCACCTTTCGAGATATTTTCTTCCATCAAAAACCGTTTGCCATTATGAGCAATGGAAATTGCAACACCAACCTGAATGATGGTAACACTCATCATCACGTTCGCTACTTACGTCGTATTCCTCCTTGAAATTGGCACACACATCCCATCCAGGAACAGCCTTCCTCTTCTTGCCGCTAATCACCATGACTTCCTTCACCAATGCGCTTCCACACGCCGGTATCGGCGGCCAGCCTGATCACTATTTTCCGAAGACTTCAGTCATGCCATCCACAGCATTTTAGCGGGACACTGCGACTCCTTCATCATCTGAGAGACTTCCATGAATGTCGAGGCAAAATAGTGCAGTTCAACTTTCAAGTACTTACGTATATCGAACGCGGCTTACTCTGTCACAGATAGACATCAAGTCATGCTTTTGTTACGTCTCTTTATCATTTGAGTGTATCTTAAGAAATGGAGTTATGGGTGGACAGCAACCGGATCGTTTAGAGCTGGTCCGCCTTTGTTCCACGATTGTACCGGTTTACATGTGGATATGGTTGTTAAACGCTGGTACGGAAGTGCAGTGACTGATGCACAGACTTGCTCCGAGTCACCAACGTGGTTCCTCGGGTCACGGTAGCTTGCTATCTTGGAGCCCGCGCTTCTGGTGGCAAGCGCCCAGATCATTAAACAGTAGGGATTTCATGTAGCGTCTGGTACGTTCCGACCTTCATCGGCGGAGTCAAATCAATCAATACAGAACGTAGCCTTCTCCCCGGAGCTTCAACGTTCATGTGGCCCCCCATTTCACAAGCTGCGCCATCTAGACATTGTGGTTCTAGTTGATGGCAAGTGCGTTGATGGTATCTTGGTTATCTCAGGTGTCACCAAGGCTGGTATACGGTTTTTAAAATCTTACCAAAAGCTATACCAGGTTCTCAATATAAAATGCACGAGTCAATTGCTCAATTGAGAACACCCACTTCCACGAAGCGAAGACGCGTGTTTCGCGATGAGCTCCACTACGAATGTTCTTGAACTTGGATGGGTACTCTGGGGTCTTAACGTGAGTAGCAGTAATACCTTGCTTGTTTCCAACTATTCATGATCTTCCAAGTACGCCAATAGTCTGCGTCCTCTTGCAACTTGTGTTGACTATAAGATATACTGACAACTGTGTTACAGTGGCTGTAACTACGTCCTGGGTAATTTTTCATGAATTTCACAATTTAATTGTTAATCTATATCACCGCAGGCATATGAATTTTTCCTTACCTTGGCCGATGAGGTGCTTTTAGCTATATCGGTTCAAATGCTATACAAGTCTGATGCTAACAACCCCAGGTGGCATTTTCTACCCAGTCACAGTGGAAACTGGCAAAGCTTCTCTACGTTGTCTGCCGATATCTTACCTGCGGTTACTTGACGTTAGAGATGCTCGGTAAGCATCCTTAATGTTAATGATGTTATTTTTTTGTATTCAAGACACTTGCAGTGGCATTCCAACCCATGATGTCAATTCATGTGGGTCTTGCAACAACCGTAAAACTGTACCTCAACTAAAGCGTTATGATAGATGTGTCAAGTGATATACTCCACAAATAGCTGTGTGTTTCATTCGTTCGTTCAAGTAAAATCATTCATGGTAGACATTTGACGCAGATTTGGGAACTCTCATTGTAGTGTGTGCGGAAGGTTTGCTGCCCTAACATATAATATCGTCGAATTCATTAACTGAAACCTGCAAGGTGTCTTCTTGGTCCGTGTTTGTGCAATATGGGGATTCAGGAGGAGCGTGGTGATTCTGTTCTCGATCAGCGCACTGGTCAGTGGCAGCCTTCAAGTTTACTAGAATCCATCCATAACATGTGGATTTAGATGTATGTTATTGCTGCCACTGTGGTCGTCTGGATCATCCGATCTCCCCCTGCAAGTAAGTCTCTAGACATTCCGAGAGGACTTCATGTACTAAAACACTGTTACAGTCACTAAGTCACCCATCCCTGTCACGAGTTGTCTTGAAACTGGCAATGACAAAACCATCATAATCCTCTACGTAATTCTGGTCGCGGCGGAGATCCGTGAGTATATCGTCATTTTGTTTTCTATGGTAACCGACGGTCCGCCAGAAATATGGGTATTCGCACTGTACAAGGTCGCTGCGAGCTACCGGCGCGGGGGTGGTCGTAATCGCTTGTTGGAACAGTTGATACATCACAATATGATTTACCTGACCTGCGGGCTTGGTGAGTTGCCTTCACATTATCCAGTTGTAGAGAAGCGGGCAGGGCATTTTTCTGATTTGTGGCTCACAGTCTTCTCCTTCGGTGTCATATTGACGACAGCCCGTCTCAACGTTAGTACACGAAACTCGGTTTAAACCACGTGTACTGATAACAAGTAAACCTGACAGGTGTCTTACGGTTTCATGATTGAGAGGTTTTTACGCAACTGGCAAGTCACTGTTCATGCCTTTCTTGTTACAAAGATGTATCGCGGACTCTGGAAAGCGGATCAGCGACATGCTTTGCTAGAACCTGTTTCCTTCTCGCTTGCGACTTTCCAAGCTGCACCTAGAATGACAACTCAAGCATGAATTTCTGGCTTTCACCCCTTTTTTTGTCTAGTTATAGGTTGTTGAGCAAACGAAATTGTTATCCTTTATTCGCCACCGACTACGTATGGAACTTTTGGTGTCAATTGATTTACGGTATGTACAAGTCATGACAGTTCCGGAAACGATTCATATCTGAGCCCGGCGACCTCAAGAGCTACATGAGCATCTGGGGATAAAGTATCCTGATTCTCGAATGACAGACCGACGGAAAAGGAAAGTTCAGGAACTGCTATAACCGCCTTCATTCAACCTTACATGGATCATAGGTGATTTTGTTTTCCATAATGGAACTGCGAGATGATAAATAGCTACTACTAAGAGGGGGAAATAAAACGTAAAATAGATAAGCACACATTCAAGCGCTGTCAATTACTTATCAATGTCTTGCATACTCCGTACGAAATCATTTGGATGGTCCTTACTGCAAGGGGATTCCCCTACCACGATTATCTTCCCACAATGGTGATCTCCTTTGTATAATGCCACGGCACGCCTCACCCAATTGGGGCAGACCTAAAAAATTACATATGAAATGCAAGGACCAGCGCCCCGCTTTACGGATAGGAGTCATGCTTTGAGGCATAGGGTCATCCCCAACGGACGATGATGGATTGGAAGAGTCTACGCGAGATGCTATAAAGGTTTGAACCTTGCGCTCGCACTTAGCTAGAACTGATATCGTCCGGCTTGGCAAAGACTTGTTCAGTTCCACTAGACAGCGTGCGAGCATGAAGCAGTATGGTTCAAAGCGAATAGTCCCTTCAAGACAACCGCGGCAGTCCAATGTCTCCGGCAGGTATATGGTAGCCAGTCTCGCATCCCTCTGGGTCGCTTTCGTTACAGCACCTCCAGATAAAGTCCTCCGGGTACGACCGGGGATCGCACCGTTTGTGCCGTTCAACATCTTTTCGGAGGAACCCTATCGACGAAGAAAACCATAATTAAGACAAAAAAAATCCTTGAGTATAAATCTCAGACCTACCTGGATGATAGCAGCATTCGAACGGCCCGCGCACCGCGTTCATGTCGAATTTTTGCCCGCAATTTACGCAAATATCCCAGCGTGGACGCGGTCTGACATCCACGCTCACCTCGGATTGGATCTCAGGGACATCCTCGATATCATTGACGTCCCAATTAATCACCGAACAGGCGGATTTCCAGCTGGGGCAACTCCCAGAGTCTGTTGACACACTCTCTAGGCTAAAGGAAGCTTCGGTTGAGTCCGCATCAGACCTCATGTCAATGTGTGAGACCTCCGAGATCTCCTTTGACGATGCCTTCAAGGAGTCAAGCGATTGGACAAGAGACCATCGTAGTTCAGGTATCTCGTCGGCGAGCTGAAGGACGAGGGCGCGTAATTGTTCGGGAGATGCTGCTTCAACTGAAGAGAGCAGGTGTTCATGGAATTCTGGGTCTTCGACCGTCAACAGACTGTGCCCCACCTCTGTCACATCAAAGTCCACCGGTAAGCTGTCGATAACAGATTCCGGGAAGTCCAAGGAGCAAGGGTGAGACCCAGAGGGAGTGAAGAAGCGTGACAAGCTCACAAAAGCCGACATCGAGATATGGTTCCAGCTGAAAGGTGATAAGTATAGAGAACGGTCGTAAAACAACCTTAAGCTTCAGGCTTCCGACTTCAAGTTGCCAAAAGGCTAAAGCTGTGCTGGAAAATTTCGCTTGCGCCATTTATTACGTCTCGACTCCGAAGCGGTGTCACCTTCAACTGCGAGGAAAAGCATCATTTCGTGTTTCTGGAGTGGTTTCAAATCAACCAAAATCTTCCATGAAAATCAAGGGGAGGCAACTTGGAGAATCAGAAGGACAAGTTATTCGGATAGTAAGTGACTAGTACCGGGTACTCCCGATGCCGATTCCGAGTCAGGTGTCTAGCCTGAGGTTGATCTAGATTCTACAAACAGGTGACTATGCGTCTAGCCCCAGCTAAGTATATATGATACTGTCAGTTCCAAGCAAGTCTACAGTACCTCCATCTGCGACTCTCGTGATGAGGCTCAGGTTCAACGTGACGCCACTGCGCTGCTAAGCCAACTTGAATGATGGCCTTCAATGCAAATTTACCCTGCCCATGCAGTCACGGTCTCCCCCGCGATCACTTGACAAGGGTTTTACCGTGTCTCTCCTTGCTACATGAATACACGAAATGCAATTCCGTCTGGTTTACTATAGAAGCATGGCTCATCTGGGTTGATGGCAAGTCTATTATACTAGGCTACTCAGTTTCGAATTCATTTCACCAACACCATCATCACTGGCACTGCCAAGCAGTTGAAAGGACCGTCCTTCGGCCCCCTATCAATAGCCACAATACTGGACATCATGGGACGTACTTGCTCAGCGTTTACGTATGCCTGTGACCCCTGTGTGGTATTTGTATGATTTTATGTCAATGCGGCTAGTCTCGTATTCAGTTCTGACAGCCTCTTTTTCCGATTCCAGTACTACTTCGCGACCGCTGGTAAGTAATGTCTTTAAACACTGACGTCCGTTATTAAAATGTGCCGTAGTTTGATCATGGGCTACTTTGTCCCATATGGCAGGGTCTCCGTCCCAGTTCGTGTCATCTGTAGGGTCCGAAGCACTCACATGACTGTTTCTGTACGTATCTGTACAAGTACATAAATCGCACAACTGATAGCTTTCGATAATCTCACCCACTTAGTCGCCCTCAAATGGCTCAAATCCGTCGAGCCTCACAAACTTCCGAAGAAAAACAATCAAGCGAGGGGGAGCTCATTGAAGCAGCACCCCTACCGACACCTCTTCCAAAAACACAGCTGGCAATCCTTCTCCTTGTACAAATGCCCGAGCAGCTGACAGCCTCAGTGATATATCCATTCGTGAACCAGCTAGTCAGGTCAACAGGAATCACGGGTGGAGATGAGCGTAAGACAGGCTATTACGCAGGCTTAATTGTTTGTTGTTTCTTAGCGGACACTAACCCATTACTGACGAAATTATGTTACTAGGAATCTTTGTATTATGCGGTCGAGGCTGTCACGATTCTGCAATGGGGTCGCGTGTCTGACCGAATTGGAAGGAAACCAGTGATTCTCGTTGGCCTTTTCGGGGTTACTTTGTCTATGGTCTCTTTCGGATTTTCGAATCGATTTTGGATGATCATCCTCAGCCGTTGTGCACAAGGTGCTCTCAACGGTAATATCGGTGTGGTCAAATCTACCATGACCGAGATCGCTGACGCCTCCAATGTGGCGCAAGCATTCGCGTGGCTACCTTTGGCGTGGGGCACTGGTTACACGCTAGGGTTTGTTTAGTCGTTGACAATCATGTACGCCGTAAATTGATCTAGTTCTCAAGATTTCTCATTGGAGGGGTCCTCTCGGATCCAGCAGCCAAATGGCCAAACACCGTCGGACACTACCCCTTATTCCATCAGCATCCTTATTTTTTGCCCTGCATCGTTGCCGCCAGCGTATCGACATTCTCCTGGCTCATCACCTTGGTATTTTTCAAAGAGGTACATTGATTCAGCTATCGTATCGCGTGCAGTGCTCACAAAAAGATTTTCCAGCCGATGCGAAGCACTGCCTCCAAAAGTGGGTCCGTGAGCCATAGTGACAACACCAAAAAGTCGCCCGTGCGCGCTGCCACGATCCACTACAAGCCTGCAGACACCCAGATAGACACGCTACCTCACACGCTAGATGAAGCAGAGATTGCCAGTCCAGTTTCTTGTTCTCTTGAGTCTACAAGGACCGACTTTCGCGCCATCCTCATCCCAGGCGTCATAATACCAGTCTTGCACTATGGTTTGCTGTGTTTCGTTGACCAGTGCATGCTGGTACTAATCCCGCTCATGTATTCGACATCACGTTCACTTGGAGGGCTTGGTTTTAGTAGCAACACCATTGGGTTGGTGATGTCGGTTTGGAGTATGTTTAACGGCATGATACAGGTTTGTATGTTTCCGCGATTGTTGCGAAAATTTGGACCAAAGAGGTTGTATATCATGAGTTTCGCCTTTTTCCTCATAACATTTTCCACCTTCCCGTTAATTGGTTATATGGCGAAGCGCAAGATGGAAGCAGGAATGTGGTTGATTATTTGCGTTCAATTCGTTGCATACGTTGTTGCGTACATCCCCTATAGTGAGTTGCCTCCCCCCTCATGCCTGCGTTCCTGACAATAATTATTGTTAGGCTGTATTATCTTATACATCAACAATGGGGCGCCGAGCAAGGACTTGCTGGGCGCAACAAATGGCCTAGCGCAGATGCTGGGTTCCGTGATGCGTGCTGTTGGACCAACAGTGGTATCTTCACTGTTCGCTCTATCATTGGAGAAGAACCTCTTAGGCGGAACAGCCGTATACTGGATAATGTGCACGATTGTCATGGTGATACTGGGTTTCTCGACATATCTGCCGAAAACCCTTACCTGGGCATCGTTATGACACCATGGAGTGGGAATGAGTGATTAGAAGTTACTTGCCTGATTTTTCAGCAGTCTGTAAATCTTGTGTACAAAATAGATTCAGGGGCGACCTTACAAGGTCTAATTGGACTAATACCAGTTAAATTTAAGTGTCAACACCCGTGGTATATTCGATATTGTAGTATATTCCGCGAGTATTGAGGTGAATGACATTGATCTTGTTTGTTCTTGTTGAATCTGGAGGCTGCTGACTAATGTAAATTATTTGCACCCTTTGTTCATTGTTGACGTTCGTACAATGCGGCAGCGAAGTTAGGAACCCTTTCACCCACCCCATATTTTTTTTGGTTCCATACCATTTGTCACGAATGGCGCTGAAAAAGGTTGTTACTATCCGGCTCTGTAATGATGACTCATTTTGATCACACCACACAGACCACAAGGACTCAAATACAATAAATATCCTTGACGATCTACTCATCTAGATAGCTTGAATGAAAAGATGGTAAGGCTCTGAATGTTCCATACGGGCCTTACCACTGCGACGTTCTGCCTTACGAGCGCGTTTCTCCTGGCGTTTCTCAGTCTTAGCCTGCCTTCTCGCGGCACGGCGTTGTCTTTTATCAAACTTGCGGGATGCAGACGACCCGAATTCATGCTGATTGCGGCTCCTGTCATCCTCGGAATCTGATGAGGAAGACGAAGAAGAAGACGAGGAGCTTGAGGCTCGGCGACGGAGGCCATTTGCCGTGCGGAGTTGGCTATAATCACCAAGCGGGGCCGCTCCCTCACGGCCGCTTAAGCGCTCTGACCCTTGCCAGAGAACGGCCTCCATTCTGCGAGGTCCGAAGAAGTACTGAAGAAACGATGGTGAATAGTCTGATGGTATTTCGCAGGACTTATACTGACCTGGTTCCAGTTATCAACGACGTCTCCCGCCGCATTGCGATTATTCGCTTTCATTCGTTTCTCGATGCCTCCAGTCATGAGGAACCCGCCTAAGAATGCAGACATGAGATCATTTCCTGCAATGGCTTGTTGCACTACGTACCAATAAGACTGGCGCCTGTTATAAGGGGTATGGCATTCGATTTGATGCGTTGTCCTGCAGATAACGAACCTGCTTTCTTGATGTCTGCCAGGAATCTAAAGACCTTATAGATCAATCAAAATGGGACGGCCTGATGAAAAGTGTACGGACCGTTTCCAATCCTCCTTTGAGATATCATGCGTCGCAAATGGGTGAACACACAGTTGGCATGGGGGAGCTACCTCAGGGAAGCCTTTGCTCAGCTCCGTTTTTTTTGAGATGAGACACAGGGGAGGGAACTGATCGTAACGCAGATGCTGAGGCGGCTGACGTTGCCACATTGGCGGAGGACCCGTGCTACCAAAGAATGAAGCCAGGGACAACCCTCTACTCTCGCCATTTGGGGAAGGTACACGATCTTGTGGCACAGCGCCTGCAGTCTGGTTGTATGGGCTAACACTGTTGTTTGGCTGATATAAAGGATAATTTGATGATCCTGCCCTGTTATGGTCGTATGGATCCCTAGCTCCTGGGGAAGCCCCCTGGTATGCTGGGCATTCCCCGCCTGTTCGGTCATCATGACCAGTTGCTGGTGGTGCCTGATCTCCTTGATATCCTGGAGGAAGGTGGGATACTGATCCCGGAGGCGCTTGGTATGTTTGCGGCTGAGGGTTGTACTCCTGATACGTGCTATCACGCGGAGCATAAGATGCCTCCTCGGTGTATGCAGGGGGTGAGCCTAAAGGTATCTGGTATTGATTCTGTTGCTGCTGAGGAGCCGGGACAGGGGGCTCCAGATAGGTTCCGTACGGGTTGTTAGATTTGTCATCGGGATAGTGAATCATAGCAGAAATTATGTGGGGATAATTGCCGTACGTCACAGCACATGACAGCGAGATTAACGATTTTATACAACTTGGAGTCAGTACTAGCACTGCCATTTCCGCAGCTCGGAGGTGCGAAGCTTACACCACCACTAGGAAAATGCTGCGCCACTGCTGCGACTGCTGCGGTACCTGCCGTGACGTTCCAAATTTACGCTTAGCAGCAAATTACGACGCTTGCTTGTTGCTTGCCACATATGTTGGAAACTAAACACCAAGTGAGTCTCAGCGATCGTGATAAGCAACGCTATATTGTATGTACCTAAACACCAAGTGAGTCTAGGTACGCCGTGTGTCAGCAAGAACAAGCGTGTGTAGCAAGAGTATACATCCCTCAGCGATCGTGACAAGCAACGCTGAGGTGAAACGTACGCAAGAGAGAGAGAACTTGGAATCCGGTAGATCCGAGACGCAGAGGGACGAAGCGGCCGAAGAACAGGCACGGGAGGACATGTAGAGAGCGAGTGTATCCAAAATGGGTCAAGACGAGCGACGTGGCAATGTCGGCTCGTGCCCTGCTATGTTTAACTTTATTTTATCTTATATCCATGTTCCTGGCGCACTCACCTTATCAGCAAACGCGCCAGTTCCCTAGCATCTCAGTTTTCAATACGAACACTGAGATGTGAGTTATTAGATCGTATCATCCCCGCACAAGTCTAACGTCGAATAGTACTGTCGCACCTTTGTCTAGGTACACGATTCGTTAGTAGAGTTTTCAATACGAACACTGAGATTCGCACCTTTGTCTAGCTCCCGCGCAAACGTCTCGCTATACATCACTTTAAACAATATTGGTGTTCAGCATCTCTACCAATCGCATGAGTGCGCTAGTGAAGTCGTAAGTGTTCGTAAGTGTCCGTAACGCGCATAAGCTATTGAAGCGTTCATTTCAGTCGTTTTGCAGATGCTGGTTTGCAGATGGGCGTAGCTATTTTGACCACCCTTGGCAGCACTTTTCTGTGCTTCCCACGGTCTGTCAGACCCGGTTTCTATGTAGGACCAAACCCATCTCTGAGACAACCCTCTCGTAGGAGGATCTCCCTCAAATCCTCTTGTAGGCCTCGTCAGAGGGTTGGCTCTGGTTGTCCCATGTGGTTCTAGAGAGCCTTTAGTTTGTTACTGTAGGTCCCGCTGCCCTCAAGATCATCTAGAGCCTCCAGCATGATATCGTAAGTCCCACTACCCTCAAGATAATCTACTAGTAGAGCCTCTGGTGCTCCTTGCGCATGTATTATTTTTCCCTTGCCCTGATGATGTAATCTAGAGCCTCTGGCGCTCCTTGCACATGGCTTATGTTTTTACTTGCCGTGACATATCTCACGTGTTTCTACTTACACCTACTATATCATCTTCCCACATGTTCTCTCTCCCCATGTTATGTTTTTGTTTTCATTGTAGTTATGATATTCTAATAATATATATTGCACTCCGGTATCATCATTCTTAAGATTCACAGCATTTTCAAACGTGTTCTGATGCAAACAAGAGCAGGCGTTGGAGCCGCTATAGTGACATTGTCAAAATAAGGAGACGTCAAAACAACAATTCCATAGTAACATAAGTAGGGTATGAGAGGGACACCGCAAGATTAGCACAGGACGAGTTGGGAGTGAGCAAACCATCATAACAATCATCACCACAAAAACACGAAAACAGCACAAGATGAGCAAAAATAGCGTCCAAAAAGAACACAGGTGCACGCAAATTGAAAGAGAATTAAGATGAAGGAGCGCGAGGAGGGTTGACAGGATCTCGACTAAATGATCGTGGCACAACATCATGAGGGACATAGTCCAAAGGTGGAGTATTACGGACACGATCTGTCCATCTGGAATCCCAGTAACGAGTCCTGCCTTGAGGGTACCCATTGTCACGGTAAGTTCCTCCACCAAATGCCTGCCGTTCATCAAAGTCATCACGTCGAGAGTATCCACTCTCACGAGCATAGTCAGGACCAAGTCCTGGACTGTATCGACTTGGGTATGTGCGTTCACGCTCATGGTGAGCATAACGGTCATCACGGTATACCTCCAAGGCCGGAGAGCTGTCTCGCATGGCAAATTCACTGTTAGCACGAGGCTCAGGTCCATAATTGTCATGAGGTTGCAAACCAGCATGGTGGTAATTGCGGGAGTCGCGGTGGTAGAAGGCATCGCGAGGGTAGAGAGCATCATGCTCAGTGATTGGGGTATCTTCACGTGAATGGTGGATCTCATGACGACGCACAGCCTCATGCATGTACCATGGCTCACGAGAATGACTGCGAAGAGGTTGATGAGGATCATGCAAGGTGTCGCGAGGGGCATGATGGGGAGTGTCTTGAGGGTCATGAAGGATATCATTACGAGGCTCACGAGGATTATGAAGAGGCTCACCCTCATAAGGATCATTGCGATGGTTGTGGACAACCTCACGTTGAGGTTCCCATGAGTGGTGTACAGCGTCACCCTCATGAGGGTCTCGCTGGATACCTTCGTCAGAGCCTCGCTGAATACCATTGTGAGGGTCATGATGGACAGGGAGCTCATGATGAGCTTGGGGTGGGTTGGCTGGAGCATTGGCTGGAGCATTGGCTGGAGCGTTGGCTGGAGTGTCATGGAGGTTACGAGAGTCATCAATGGTATGAGGATCCTCGATGGGATTGGTGACTCGAGGTGATTCCTGATCTCCTGCTGGTCCATCATCCTGTATCACCTCCGAAGGCAAGTTCTTCTGTAGCGTTTCCTCAGGGACATTATCTAAATCAGCAGAGATAGCACTCTTCACAACCGCATCTGTCTTCTCACCCTCATCAACTTCAGATCCATCTGAGCGCCTGTACACCATGCGAAGAGCCTGTTTCATTTTACCCTTGGATTCCTTTGTGATTGGGCGTGCTTTTACTAGGGGGTAGATAGTAGACGGTAGATCATTAGATGTTTTGCAAGAATATCTGTTTTGAAAAAAAGCTTACCCTTTGTGCACACGTTAGAGGGACCATCCTGGAGGAATGCCGGTGCTGTAGCTATACACCTTGAGTCAAGTAAAGTTAATTTAAAATAAAGGGTACTCACTCGCAGTCTCAGGCTCTGGCGATGCTGCCACACTTGATGACCCCACTGTCAATGGGGACAGAGGGCCACCCTTCATCGGAGAAGTTGCTGATGTTGGTAGGGCAGGCGTTTTGGGTTGCTTCGGCCGTGCAGCCTTCTCGTTGGATGGGGCTGGCTTCTTTGATGCATGCGACGTGTTCACAGACTTCAATTTCCTCTTCTTGCCGCGTGCTTCTTCATACTCAGAGTCAGACTCTGTGGCGGCATTCTCTCCAGCCGAAGTGAGTTCAATCACCTCACTCTGTGCTGTGGCAGTCGGTCCTGGCTTTGGAGTGACTTTGAGTGGGTGTGAGGGTGGCAGTGTAACGACTTTAAATGGACGCGATGGTGGTGGTGCCGCAGTTTCTAATCGCATGGTGGGTTTTCTGAACTTGCGAGCAGTAGGTACTATTGGATAATCATCATCTGAATCGTCATCGTCATTGGCGTCAGGTGGTGGAGGTGCCTTTGTCACTTTATCGGCCTTCTTAACTTTGGTAGTCGCGTTGCTGGGCTTGATACGAGCTGGGCCGTGGTAGTTAGTGTCGCCATTAACAAACAGTTGTCTAGCACCAGTGTGTGACCAGTCAGATGGAGGCGCTATGCCTGTGATAACGGGCCTCTCAGATGCCATAACGGATGCTGTACATAATATTAGAATTAGAATGTTCTTACAACGAGAATCTTACCTCGATACTTCTTGTCGACTTTGATAACTTGCATGGTTCCTGACTTCAATGCCTCCACGAGCACCGTGATTTCCTTCTGCGTCAGCGCTCCAATGCCCTTATTCTTTGAGTTCTCGTTGTGGGCTTCACCAGGCAAGAGACACCTGTCAGCTGGATATCCCTTGATGCAGAGATTGGCATCAGCAAGCGCGCTGGACATGCCCTTCCAAGGAAAGTTTTTATCCCAGGCACACTTGCCCCCAAGCTGGGCTAGTATACATTTAGTCAAATGAATCAAAAGACCAGTGACACGTTGACATACCGACTTGTTTGATAAGCTCGAGCTTAACCCACTTCAAACCATCATCCCGTCCCTCAGGAGCTTGAGACTGATCACGACCGTTGTTTGGAGGTGAGTGGGGGGTCAATAGGTCACTGTGAGTATCGTCATGGAAGAGCCCCTTCAGTGACAAATTCCGTATTATACGGGCCACCCGACCTACATAATATCCCGTATGAGACGGGCCAGCGGATTATGGGCCCATGTTGTGTATATTCTCGATGATGACGGATGGGCCGGGACACATATTATTTCCGATGGAGACGGGTGGGCCCATGTATGCCAATGATATATATATCCTTGATGTTGACGGATGGGCCGGGGGAATATGATCATTCATGGAGATGGGTGGGCCCATCAGGGTAATATGTAGAGTAGGATATTATAGACAGCTGGGCTGAAGAGAGATGTAAGGCAAATATTGTTATATAGACGGGTGGGCCGACAGGGGTGTATTACATATATGGGTGGGCCGAGGTAGGGGAATATTACATAGATGGGTGGGCTGACGCGGGGTGTATTACATATACAGGTGGGCCGACATAAAAAGTATTACATATACGGGTGGGCCGACGAAAGGGATATCAAATAGACGGGTGGGCCGAGGGTGTGATAAAATATTTATTACATAGACAGGTGGGCCAAGGTGGGGTATAATTATATAGACGGGTGGGCCGACGTAGTATGTATTATATAGACGGGTGGGCCAACATAGGATGTATTACATAGACGGGTGGGCCGAGGGTGTGATAAAATATTTATTACATAGACAGGTGGGCCGAGGTGGGGTATAATTATATAGACGGGTGGGCCGACGTAGTATGTATTATATAGACGGGTGGGCCGACGTAGTATGTATTATATAGACGGGTGGGCCAACATAGGATGTATTACATAGACGGGTGGGCCGACGTGGGGGATAATACATAGATGGGTGGGCTGACGTGGGGGAATTGTACATAGATGGGTACATATATGGGTGAGCCTGGATACGTATAAATGTCAACTTTTCAGTGCAAAACCCCAAACCGAGATTTACCAACCCCCGAAACCCGAAATTGTGGACTGCCGGGTGTCGGGTTTCGGGGTTCGGGGGTCCCGGAACTCGGAACTCGGTATGTGAGACAAAAATATATTTCATACACGGGTAAGTCAATGTGTCCGTCAATCAACTCGATTGTAAAGTATATTTTATTGATCTCCCCAAATTTCCCAAGTTCCGAGTTCCGAGTTCCGGGACCCCCGAACCCCGAAACCCGGCAGTCCACAATTTCAAGGTTCGGGAGTTGGTAAAATGTGTATGGACAGATGAAAGGTTGATTTAAACATTTTTGAAAGATGTCCCATATGAAATGTTAAGTCCCGAATTTTGAACT